ACTATCAGGCCATTCCTGGCCTGACTCTCTATGGATACGCGACCGCAATATTGGGCCATCTGCAGGGTGGAAACGAGCTAGAACATGTCCAGTGTTCGTTGTTCGCTGGTCTTTATGCCGGCCAGCTGGCCCATCCTTTCCAGAGCCACAGTTGGATTTATCAGGCCTCAAGGGCTTGCCAGGTTCTTGTGAGAACCAAGCGATATGAGCGACTCGAAGAGGGGGCTACGCAGGACTTGTACAACTTCGCGTACTGGACTTGTCTGCAATTGGAGAGTGATCTTCTCGCAGAGCTGGACATTCCAGCGAGTGGCATCTCCCGTTCCGAAGGTCGGATGGCTATTCCGAAAGGAAAATGGACAATTATTCTACCGAACGATCTCAACGCACCCCAAACGATGATGATGCTGTTTTATTCTGCCCAGATCCATCTACGCAAAGTCTTGAATCGAGTTCATACAGACTTATACAAGGTCGAAAAGCAAGGCCAGACACGATGGTCATCCACCGTTCAAGAGGCTCTGAGCCTAAACCTCGACCTCTGGCGTGACAGCCTACCACAAAACATGCAGTGGCTCGAAAGCGATCCGCCAGCAAACGAAATCAATGCCGCTCGCATGCGTGCCAAGTATTACGGTGCCCGGTACATCATCCACCGACCTCTTCTCTACCACGCACTACACTACGGCCACACAGGTGCCCGCGTCGGTCTCGTCGGCCAGTCTTTGGTGGACTCACCTACCTCGCAACAATTGTCCCCCTCGATACTGCACAGCGGTGCTCAGGATCCAAAGATGGCGAGTATGTCTGGTGACATGGGCTCTATGCCGGCCGCAGTCTCCACTGACTGGCAGCCCCCCAAAGTCCGCTTACAAGATCTGCCGAAGAAGATAAAATCTGCCTGCGACATCTGCATTCAATCGGCTATCAAGAGCACGGAGGCCTTTGATGGTGTGGGTGGACATCGGTTGGTCGTTACCAACATCTTCGGCACTTCCCATGCGTAAGGAATCCTCTGACCCCCGTTTCGAAAGATCACGGGTATAGAGACAATACTAACATATTTCTTCGCAGTCAATTTGGCAATATGCTCGTTCTATCTGCAACCTATATGTCAAGTTTAAAGGAGCTTGTCGAGCCAGAGACACTTGAGCGCCTCCTCGTCCGGACAATAGGTTTCCTCCTCCAAAGCAAAAGCATATCCCCCACCCTCCGCGCCGATGCTCGCATTCTCACTGAGATCTACGAGAAGATCTTCCATCGTGCTCCTGGCCTGAGGCAAGCCAGCATGAGCAGCCACACTCCAAGCCTGAGCAGCCAAACTACCGGCATGAGCTTCTTTTAAATGTGCATCTAGCATGAGAGTTATTTTTTTGTCCCGTTCCTGTGGGATTCGTAACTCGATATCTGATATCTTATATCCTTATGAACACATCATGCATGTCCCTGTCTCTTTAAGCCCGAGCCCTTCCGCGCTCGATATCTGTTATCTGTCTGTCATCTATACCTTGTGGACTACGGTTCTTTTCATTGATGAGTCCCCGAAACCTATCCTATTCAACACTCGGCACTGATACGAGCTTTATCCGTGGTGATTGGTTGGTGTGGCTCTTTTCATACGTCGAGCAATCTCGCTTATTCTTTCATTGCCTCTCTAAGGTATTGCCTGGATTGGCTTTGACCTGTTGGTTTTTTCCCTTTCTTTTTTTTCTTCTTTCTTTTCACATTTTATTTTGGGTTGGAAGCATTTCGTGCTCTAATGGTCTGACCCCAGCAGATACGTCTTGGGAATGGAGTTATTGTGTCTCGTGTGGTGATTCTACTTACATTGCATGCATCCCAAGTTATACACATCTGTTAGCTTTTTTCCTTTGAATGCTCTTACAATATGCCAACTTATTTCTGTTTATTTGGCTGCGCCATATCATTTTCATATTCAATGCAAAGTTTTGCATTCGGTGATTGGCTTTTGGTGTTTTGAATTATACCTCATCTTCAGTGTGGGCTGTATGTAGGGGTTTGTTTGCTGTAGACTTTCTTTTTGGTAGCTTGTAGCATTGGACAGCACATAGATCAATTACAATTGAGATGAAGTCTGATACTGCTTGTCCATGTGGTTAATCTGGGAATGGAACTTTTTGGTTCATGCACAAAGTTTCCAAGTTTGGAAGTACCAGACCCAGACCTCATGGCGTTTTGTGGGCCCTTCCGGTTCCGCGGTTCCAGCTCCCATAGTTTCGCCAGGGTATCAAACCAGAATTATCCAAAAGTTTAATTAGAATAAATTGGACGATAAGGCATATGCCTAAATATGTCCATATTATCACTGGCGATCATAGAGAAAGCAAATACATCAGCTCGCGGACCTCGGCTTCCCCACATTGTGCTCATCAGGAGTTAATTTAGAAGCACGAGTCAGCTTACTATAGAGTTGGTATACATTAAGACATCCTTATGTTTCAGCTCTTACATTGTCCATTCTTTGATATCTAGGTAGAAATCGACATATACTCGAGCCCAGATATGGCCCTCAAGAGAAAGTATCAACCCCTATTTCTATAACAACCAGCCAGTGTTAACAAACAACCGCAGGCTTTACAGCTGATTTACTGGGCAGCTTCATCTCCCGGAGGCTCATAGACACTTTCAAATTATTCCCCGTTGTTGCTCTGGCCCACTACACAGTCCAAGGCTGTGATATTGCTAAAGCGCGCCCAAATCTCGGCAAGGCCCTCAAATCCCTATTCAGAAGCCCTGGGATGTGCTGGAAGCTCGAACGAGGTCTCTACGGCTTGCGGAAGTCACCGAGGCTCTGGCAGTGTGAGGCATCGAGGATATTGACCCCTCTAGGCTTAACGGCGGTGCAGAAGGACATCTGCTTGTTCACTGCGAAGGAATCCTTGTCTAGTTATATGAGTATGATATAATCATCGTCAATCATCCCTCCCAACGTGCAAAGGTGGAAGAACTGCGAAAGATTCCGAACACACTCTGTGAGCTTCGTGATATGGGTGAGGCGGAGTGGTTTCTGGGAGTACGAATCATTCGAGACATAGACCAGAAGGCACTCTGGCTCTGCCAAGTCTCGTATATCTCTTCAATGGCGAATCGGTACCACCTTGCTGGTTCGAGAGCATATGAGACACCTCTTCGGGGAGTTCCATTGGCACAATATAGAGGGAAATCCACGCAGGCACAGATCCATAAATTCCAGCAGAAGGTGGGTTCTGATCAGTATGCCACCACAATAACCAGACCGGATACCGCGAAAGCGACGGCCTCTCTTGCTCAGTATCTCACGAACCCCTTCCCCGAGCACATTGAAGCGATCAATCGAGTCATTTCACATTTTTATCACACACGCACCCGGGCCCTTGCATTTTATACACAGCATCAAGCGAGTGAGGCGGTGATTTTCTTCAGTGATGCCTCATTTGGAGACAATCATGATCGGAAAAGCTCGGAGGGATATTTATGTAAGATTTTTGGGAGACCAGTTGGCTGGGAAGCGAGTAAACAGCGTACGGTCACCACCAGTACCACAGAAGCCGAGCTACTCGCAATCTCAGAGACTGGGAGGATGGTCGCCGCATGGAAACGGCTATTTCAGGCGATCCGTTTCGATCCAGAATATATGTTGGCGATCAATTGCGACAACCAACAAACTGTTGGTTTGCCTCGTGGTATACAGACTGCATCGTTCGGTTACACACACGGGAGAGAGTTTGTTGATAGATTATCGTCACGGCGAAAGGGGAAGACGTACAAAACAGCTCTTCTCCATGGCCAGTGCTGTTAAGAACTCAAGCGCCGCATTCCCCTACCCCCGAGAGTTGTTTTTCCCTCTTATTTCGGCCTTTCTATATCTATCGCGTTGCAGCAGTTTACCTATACATTTAGTAAGATATCTCTGCCTGTCAGCTCACTTGTCTGATGTTTGATACCTCAAGACAGCCTGATCTAGCTGACTTTGTCGAGGGGCGGCAGTGAGGCGGCAACCTACTCATAACAAAATGAAAAACATTGGTCCGACCCCTTGTCTCAGTCAGAAATCTCAATTTATATTGGAATCATGAAGCTAAGACTTGTTGATTTCCGCAGTTCCCTTCCACCTAGAACGAGTCGAGTCGAGGCACCAGTAGACGCCTACCAGACTAAAAGCAGCGACAACGCACGGGGATATGCCTTCAAAGCAGACTAGATAAAGTTAGCGGGACTTACGCTATTAGAAATTATTTCTAACCTGTGAAAATCCACTATTGACAGAAGTCTCGTCTGTAGAAATGGTGGTTAGACGTGTCCAATCAGCCCAAGGGGCTGGAGATGAAAGCAGTATGGTTTTAAAGTTGGCCTTTGGTGGCTCTAAATTGAGGGGAGGGAAGACACAGCCTGCCATCGTTTCGTACACTACCCTAGTGAATCTGCACCGAAGAATTCTCACTGACCACGACGGCATCACAGGTCTCCCAAACACAACCGATTCCCTTATCAACATATCCGGTGGGGTTGAATATCACGAAGTTATTACCGTAATTCACAGAGGTTTTGACTAAAACAGCCCCTACTGGTGGTGCCAAAATGACAAAAAGTATTTTCTATATCAACATTACCATCGATAATACAACCGGAATCATTCATGGAAATGTGATAGGATAACAGAAGAGGCTATTTTATTCTTGGAAAGAGATGCCTTGTCGGAGCTTTTACTGCCGAAGAGTTGACGTAATATTCAGTTTTATTCCGTCTCAAATATTGTCAAAAATAGTGGCTAGTTCTGGGCTTCGAGTTTGCGGTTTATTTTCGAGAAGCACGGAGCCGTAGTTGAAGGTGAAATTAAACAAGCTGGTACAGGTTGAAACGAATTTCAAGAGTATATATGCGAAAAGAAGAGTCGCAGCAAAGAGAAAGCACAACAGAGTAAGAGACACGGCATATGGTTTGACGTCAGTCCATGGAGTAGCTGAATAGCTTCACCCAAGCCTTGATACTGGGGTTATTTCTTATGCGGCAAGACCTCCATGGCCATGCTCGAGGCGTTTCATAATACCGCCGATGATCTTATGTTCCTCGGAAGACAGGCCCGCATGTTGATGCTGGAAGTATCTCACAACCAGGTCCATGGCATATCTTATCTCATCCTTGTCACAACATCCACAGGCGCTGGTATGCGAGACAATTTTGGAATTGCGACTTGCCGGAGGCGAGTGCATGGTCTTGTTGCATTGCTGATTTATCACGCTTGCTGGGTCATTCTCCTCCAAGGCTGTACAGGCTTCCTTGGTACCAACTTTCAGGAGTGACTCAGATATCCTACTCGGGTGTGGCTCCTCGGTGTTTGCGTGATCTGAATCTTGGACGAAGAACAAGTTGGTTTCCTGATTGAACTTCTCCAGCCATTGCTTGTTCAATTCTGTCATCTTAGCTTCGGGAAGCCTGCAGTCGTTGGCCCAAGAAAGCGCCCTATCCATGATAATGTCATCATTTAACGGGAGTCCCTTGCGCCGGCAGTTCTTTGCCCAGTTGAAAAGCGCCTTTTTGATATTAGGAACCCGGCCAATGGTCTGTGTGACTGGATAGCGGCTTCGGTCGTCACATTTGTGGTGTTCCTTTTTTTGTCGTCGGTCCTCGACGGTGAGTTTTCTACACCGGATTAGACGCCCGGTAGATGTCTCGAGAACAGAAGGCGTCAGCGATGAGCTTAGAGCGAATGGTGGGATCAGGCCTGATGATAATCTCATTTCGTGGGAAGGTGATTGATGCGGAGGCATAGTGGGCCAGGACTGTAATGGCGTCAGGGATGGCATCGAAGCATAGGGCGGCGATATAGGCATATTGTAGGTCGCATTAGTGACCGCGAGGGCCGAGGGGTCGATATTACAGTATTGCGGTATTCGCTCATCATGCTGTGGAGAGATGAAAATGCCCATTTCAACCCGTGAAGAATGGACAGATTCATCGTCTGAAACCTGGTATGTTTCCGACTTGGTGGCTCCCGGGGTCTCCATGGATGGTACCAACGAGAAGGATTACGCCCTCGGACAGCACACGGACGCGACGTTAAATCCAGTTGGCAATGGGAGTAATCAGAAAGGAATAATGAGTTTTTTCATGGAGGGAGGAGACGCGAAAATGGCAGAGGGGAAAGAGATAGCCCCGCGAGGCAGGCAAAAGTCTTCTTTTCGGGGCGAGAGCTGGTTAGGATATAGAACAGGCACGCATTTTAAGATACAAATCTTTCTGGGTCCGTTGAGAGGCAGTAGGTTGACGGGAGCTTGCTCCTATCCCAGATAGGATAACCGAAGGAACCAGAACAGGACCCAAATCTTTGGGAGAAACCTTCCTTTCGTCCAAGTAGCAGATCTAATGATGCGACCCACCAGCAAGTTGGCCGCCATTGGCGATTCAGTACACTAGGGCCTTTTTCGACTCGTGCCTGGCTCCAGCTTTCCAGTGCCAATGGAACTTTTGTTACCTGAAGCCTTATTTTCACCGGAAGAGTGGGTATGCTACCCTGCACAGAAGGCCGTGTGTGGTAAGCAGGGAGGGTCGCTCCTACTCCGAACTGGCCCCTGCCTGATAGCACGACACTAGTGATAGTGAACCACGAAAGTGCTCTTAGTTCTATCCCCATTGAGTATAGATGCTGACCAGCCAAAGTCTCTTTCCTTACCGGGTGGTCCGAGGTAGCAATCACAAATCCTTGGTCCCACCGGCCGAGTCTTCTTACTGGTATGTCACATCACTCAGTGGCCGCACCGCCAATATCCCGGTCGTTGCTTGCCGCGGCATTACGAAAACCCCGTGGGCACCGGGGAGGAAGGGGGTTTCCGCCATATAAGGTGGCCGTTTTTCATCCAACCTTCATATGCTGCACCATCTCCATCACAAGTCGAAGTGCTCTTGCCATCAAGCTCGTATCATCATTTTATTTTTGTTCCCTGTGTCTTATACACCCTTGAAATTTTTTGCCCTTCGCCCACCACATTCCAGCAGAAAACAGGGGGCAGCACCTTATCGCGCCACGAGGCTACGGTACGTTTATATAACCATGTAAAGGATCTTCAAGTGCAACATAAATGATGGTCGTAGTTGGGAATCTGTAAGGGTGAATATAAGGCGATAGAGTGCCAAATTATGAATCAGCCCCACCAGTGGCCAAACATATGAAGTCTGGAAGGACGACAATGACATTAAGGGGAAGCTTCATCTATACCAGGCATTGATTGTCGGCGAAGAAAAGGTCCAAGGCACCCAGAAACCCTGGCGTTAGACTATGACTTTACGAGTATTACTGTGGCCAATAATTTCCTGTTTGTTAACTCCTTCGCATTGGCTACAATATGAAAGCCCAGGCAGGCCCAGTGGGGCAGCCAGTATGACTTGTCCAGTCCACTCGGTCTCCATGGCTGAAATTGTCCCTTCACAACAGGATATAGTTGTTACAGTACTATCTCAAACAAATCTCCACCCTACCTACCATCGCCCTCAAATCACATTTTTTTACATGGAAATAATTTCCCCGGTGATCATCTCGCTTCCTTGAACTCAAGCAACGGTAAAACGGTAGCTAAACCAATATTGGCGACTAAGACGCTCCAGCGATCTAGCACATTCAAACTACTATCCCCTCATAACCGACCAGTCGGTCCACGATTCTTTTGTATTCTTACCTTAGATTTTGGAGCACGATATTACACCGAATTGTGGGCAGTTATAAGCGCATCGGCCATGAATTAATGCCTTGGTTTGCAGTATCATGCTAACAACACAAGCACCGGCCCTTTTTGTTGGTTTAAGTCAACTGACTCTTTTTTTCTAGGCTGGTGGCATGGGGGCCAAAAGCTGGTTCCTGTGAGCAAAGCCCTGGTTTTACAGTCTGCCAAGGTGGAGGTTTTACAGATGCGGCATGCGGCTGACCTCCACCGGGCCAGGGCATAAGTTCTCTCGTTTTGTTTCAGGGGTTAGCCTAAATCCTACCGTAGATAAGTCTAAGATTACGGGTGTTGAAGCTGCAGTAGCACCAGACCGACCCATATTAACGTTGCGGATGCCCCTTATATAAGTTAATCCATTTCTGCACATTGGGCCGTCTCTTCTTATCCCTTCTTTGCTTTACTTAGGACTTTCTGTCCAAGCAGACAAGTATGGCTGCCAAAGAATTATTTGTCCGACAGTCTTCAATGCCAGATGACCCCAATGAGGATTGGTTCGCTGTTGATCGATCCAGGAACGCCCTAGCACCAGAACCAGAACTCAATGCCCTACTCGAAGAAAACGTCCCAAGGGTCCGACCATGTCCATTTAATCGCTATAACGACATCGAAATCCACATTCCAACCCGATGGCACCCATTTCAAAAGCCCAAGTTCGCAGGGTTACAAGCAGGTGCCATTTTTGCCAGCTCTTTCTTCAACCACCTCCAAATAGAGAAGTGCCAAACGTGGCATAACCAAAAGCAGAGCAATCGTCAAGAATACAGTGAGGAGGAAAAGTGGTTTGTCTGGTACAAACGCGTCCGTCTCGGGCAGAAATGGAAGGGTGTCGTTGAGAGCTTCAACCGCCAATTCCCGAACCGCCAACGTCATAGCAATCAAGGAATACCAAGTATGCTTTATCGATTTACCAAGGAGAAAGAAAGAGTTGGACGGCTGCCATGAGGCGGAGGCTGAGCAAGACACCGCCCATCCAAGAAACGTGAATTTTGTCATTTATTGCGCGAATGTATCTTATCCGTGGATGCTGAAAGTTTCGAGGACAGTCTGTTCCCAACCCAAAGGCTACGATACTTATTGACAGATTTGCTAGTGTTGGATTATGGTTGTTTGCTTTTTGAGGAGGATGCGGAAATCTGAAGAGACCTTGTTCAACGAACCAATAGCTGTCTCACTCATGTTCTGTATAAAACTACCTTCATCCAACTTGCAAAAGCTAGAAATGTGCTGTGATAAAGGTCACTCTGCCGAGAATCACCCTACTGGGGTCTCAATTACTCATGAACATACGACGGTGGCATAGTATGGTGGTGAAACCCAACGGGAAAACCCATCAGATCATCGTCATCGCCGCTGCCAATGGGCCCATGATCGGAAAGATACGCACCTTGTTTCTTAAGAAATGTTGCATAGAAGGATGATGGGCCAATAACATTCTATATCTTCTATTGTTTAATAGTGGTTTCGAATAGTAAGTGCTAAAATTAGCAATATCATATATCATAGCTGAGGTTAGCTTGAATCTGTATTTGTTCCGCCGCCGTGCAGTATACATGTTTCGTCCCAAAAACATAAAATTACTTAAGAAATATTTGCCCATGGATACATCAACATTTCTAATGATTTTTGTCAGCCATCCCATAGGACTCGGTCGTGTAGAATAGAAAGACATTAGCCTCACTGGTAACCCCGCATGTAGAGACACGTCGTCTTTCTCAAACACTTCACACACTTGCCAATAGATGCGGGAGGATCAGGCTCACCACCATACACCGCTTTAGGGCCATGATCTGCCACGCTCTGGGTCTCCATAGCCCAATCAGCTTCTGCTCCATCTCCTATATCTTCATCCATCGGCTCATAGCTTCTCGGGTACAACGGGACTGTCTACGTCTGCAGCCTGAATTCATCGGCTTCGTATGAGGTAAGCTTTTGTTTCTTTCCTGCATAGGACTGCATTTCGGTGTTAAGGGCGGTCTTCGCTTAGGGGACTGCAACCGATTCCGGAATTCTCCAGATGTGGAAAGGCTTGGAGGCAAGGGCATTGTGTAATTGGTTGGAAACCCGACTAGGGTTCTCACGGGAAACAGGATGGCGATGAGAGTTGTACCAAGACCATCGGCGTAGCCAGGAGCGAAATGATCGGTAAATTTAGGGTTAGAGTTTATAACAGGCCGAGATGACCATTTCACTCGTGAGGAGTTGAAGATTGCGGGATATGAAGTAACTAATTGTTAGTAAATGATATGATAGAGCATCTGGTCGTTGCTGTGGTAATTACGAGGGACGTATCTCATTTTGGTTTCCCATCTTCCGTTGTACCGTTTAAATCGAGAGACAGAAGCGAAAGGTGAAATCTTGCATTAGTGGAAGAGGCACAATCTGAGAAAAATGCTTTGCGCGTGAGCGTTAGTACGATGAGGCGAAGTGGTACACTTCATATGACTTCTCGCACTTTGTAAACTGACCCCTGCGTAGACTGGTTGTAATCACTCACCATAGTAACAGGCCCTCCATCAAGGAATTGGTGCACTACCCCTGCAATCAACTGTGCGGACAAAGGTCTGGATCGGGACGGACAAAGGTGTTCCGGCTAGCTCGGGCTGCCCCCTCCAGCACCAGATCTTCGGATCAGTCAATCAATCGTACTTGGCCAAAACCTGGTGGGGCCTTTAACCATTGAAAAGGGCACGCAATAAAAAGACACTTTAGAACGGCTTTGCTCTCTTTATCCTCTTCATCCAGGTAATACTCAGTCCTCCGTTTTTCGCCGTCTTGACCAAACGAACTCTCACCCTATGTCATTTCGGCAGGCTTTTCTCTGCCCCACAAAGCCTTGATCTGACAAAACTATCGGCTCGTTCACAGCACCAATTTTGCTCATCAAACAGTGGCAATCTAAAGCGGCTGACCAAGAAGTGCCCACTCCATGATGGTTCATGATGCCTCACGTCAAGCCTTGGTTGGACTAAGGCCTGTGAGACCATCATCATATAAACAGCAATACAAGCACTATTTCTTGGGATAAACTCAGGGCTGTTGCGCTCAATCCCTTCTTTCATAACAGTGTTCACTGGAGCTTCAAGGTGCCAACAGTCTGAGTGAAGTGAGCCGACTGGAAGGAAAGGACCCATCCAGAATGATTGTCGCCCAAGTGCGGAGCTTCATCTCTCTACGTCCGTTTCTCTCCCTGCGATCTTTTTGTGGGCAAGGTCTTTCTTCTCCCGTCATCTGTCAATTGCTTGTAATTGATCTTTTCCTTAATTGGTACTTTTCCTACAGAGACCCTTTTTTCAGCCACGATAACCCGAAGCACCAAACACGCGATACAATCATGGCCTTCCAATACCGCTCCCACCCGCTCCCCTCTCGAAAGCATCCCCAATCCTAAGCTCCCCGAGCCTCTACTCGACTCGCTCAGAATAAGCCTTCTGCCTCTTTTAAATCACGACAAAATATAACAAGGGCAACATTACAAGCTTTTGGGCGTTTCTACACCAATAAAAAGAGAAACCGGACACTAAACATGCGCCACCATCAACTACTTCAACTTCTGATATCTGCCAGATGCCAATACATTTTGCGATGATTGACGCCGATTTAAAATGAGCTCTATATCGAGCAGACGTACGCGGCAATCTCACGCGTTGGATAAAGACTATACATATGGTTCCTGATCTGCACCAGCTTCATATCACAACAAAAAAGGCCATGGGCTATTCGCGCTGAAAAAAATGCTGAAACCCGAGTTTCACCTCCTTATCACATATTGGTCAGTCAAATGGAAGCAACTGAAAGAGACGTACATACCCTTCCAGGTGTAGGTTACAATGCCAGAAGGGAAAGAGGCCGGTGCTGCAAGCATCGTTTGCACACAAACATTGGGAAAATATAGGAGTTTGCAGGCCGCGTTTGCAGGCGTATGATTGGAATACCGATTGAGAATAGCAAGCAATTTTTATTGGATGCACGTGTGGGGCCACCGTGGGCTCTTCCTTTCGGCGTAAAGAGTTAGAACCCCACTTACTTCTCTTCCTGATAGCCAATCTTGAAAATTGCTCCGCGACCCAACACTCAATTGGCCAAATTTCGGAACGTTGTCCTGAATTAAATATGAGCTACTTATGCTCCAATTATATGCTTGCAAATGTAAATTGCAGACCCCACACTCTCCCAATACATACTCAACGTGCAACTGGCGTTTGCAGCCCCTTAGGAGCTGCGCAATGGACACTTATTGAGAAGAGGTCAGAAATAGGTGACGGAAATATTTATTAAGAACTAATATCAAACCCTCTTAAAACTAGGAAATTGACAATTTGGAAGACATGCTTACAAAGAACAAGTGGCAGCTTTTATGTAAGATTCCGATTCTAGTATCTGGTATTGATTTGCATGCAAAGCGCGCCGTGCGCTACGTTTCCTACTGCGTGAAAAGCGACTGTTCTGTTTGTCACATTTGGTTTTCTTCTTACAATTAAATAGCGGGAAAGCAATTGTGAGAAAGGCTTCAGGTGCGGCAATTGAAACCTTTAGGGCGAGCGAGCGAGTCAATTCTACCTTCACTACGATTAAATATGCAAAAGAATGTATTTCTCAGTTTTAACTTCTTTTGGCGCCCCGGTAGTAAGTGTGTGTGGGGACTGCAAGCTGTCTTTGCAAGCTTATAATAGGATCATACGTAGCGCGCACGGATATCATTGGCATTGGATTGGAAACAGGCTAACATTTCCCCTGGGTCTGATTGTTTGTCACTCTAGTGTACCGTATTGCCGAAGCGGGGGAAATCTTGGCCGCCCCCGACAATGCATTTCGCATTCCTCCTTTCTCACAAACCAGCTATGTCGGCGCGCAATCTTTTACCTCTCATTGATATCTCCCAATTGACTAACGGAGATATAAATAAGTTGCTGAGATGCTCGCTACTTCGATTCGGTGCCTTTCGCTTGCCAGTTGTTCCCCAGCTAAGTCAAATTCACAACAAGGTATTTTCGGACGTAAGAAACGACCACGTTATCCTTACGTGCCTATATGCTAACATATTCTAGGCACGAACGTTCTTCAGTCAAGACCCAGAAACAAAACAAACGATTCGAGGATTTTCGCAGCTTTGTGAAGAGCGCGTGCGCCAGAATATCAAAATACCGAAAGAAAGTATATATTTCTTTGAAAAAAAGACGCCCAAACATGAACTTCGCGATCCATCAGCAGAATTCAATCACTCTGTGAATGATTTGCAGATGGTAAACTTTCCTACCCCGCCCCCCCCCCCCCCCAACCCAAATGTTCAGCAGTACCTAATTTTCAAAAGGAATGGAACCTTCTTGGACGTGGCTTAGTACGTGCCTTGCAAGATACTCTACAAATGAAGGATCAGTCTCTAGCACAAGATATCAATCTCCATGACCCCACCATTGGGGTGCATCACTATGACTCCCGCCAACTTCGCACCGATGACGAGCACTATAACCCTCCACACGTGGACAGTGGCTGGTTGACTGTATTGCTTCGAGAACCCACGGGATGTTGTGACGGGTTGGAAATCGCTGATCTTGAATCTACGGAGAGCACCGAAAGCAAAGAAGTTGGTGAAAATGCAACTTTTTGTCCTGTTTCCACCATGCCCGGGGAGGCTGTCGTTATTGCAGGTAAGAAATTACAGAATTTGTTTGGAGGTCGGGTTAATGCTTGTGTACATAAGGTGAGCAGGCCTGAAACAGTACCTGCTACGGAACGATTGAGCGTTGCAATTTTTTTTTAAGCTTATAAGGCGAGAATGTAATGTACATACAGGGTATTCTATGGGTTCATGAGGACTACCCCGCAGGAGGGATCTTTACCTGGAATTAATAAGCCATTGTATCCTAACTGGTTGAAAAGCTCCATCCTGACAGACTAGTCTTTCTCTTACATTGAGGACCCTACCCAGAACCTGAGGTGCAGGCTGATAGATTCGAAAAATAGAACTCATCTCAATGGTAGCTTAAGTGTTGTGGATGTATTAATTGGTGGGCTTCCGAGAACGTCCTGCAACTATATAAAATATATTGTGTGCTTATTGAGTGCTGAGTATGTCCCCAAGCGAGATGCACGATGATGGAAGTTGTTACGACATCGTCCATGGACCTTCACAAGAAGCTCCCCTGCACCCCCGCACCTTCAGGTATAGGTGTATATGATAGGTTACCCCGGTTAGACCGCACAATTCTTATATTTAGCACACAAATTCCTCAGTGCAGGAACCAGCGATTAATCTGGAGAATATATACACTATTGTGGTTCAAGGCATCACCCTGTGTTCTTCGCTCGTAATCCAACAGGACTCCTAATAGGAGGTCCTAGCAGAAGTGCTTCAAACAATAGAGATGTGGCTTGCCTGCAACGCAGGCACACTTCGGATGAACTCGCTATCAGGAATGCCTTAAGCAATTAAACATTGACGGTTCTGGCATTGATAAATTGGATGTGGAATACATAGGTGCCGTTCTCTTTCCGAATATCTTAGACCTCAGGTGCCAAGTACCTTTATCCTGCTGATTCGGCAGATAGTGCCTTAAGAACCAGGAAGAAGAAGGATGTCGGCGCATAACTATACGTCGACATACCGGAGGGTTTATTAATCCTCCAAATGCTGTAACGTATTTCACATACGAGTGGATCACACAAGCGAGTGGATCAGCCAATCCAACCTACTAATTTCAAGTGCATATATCTCAACCAAAACTCCATTAAATTAAATACACTAAAATCATCTAGCTAGCTGAACATCTATTAATTTATGCCCTATCTCTCCACAACCACTACACTTTGGTGGCGCCCGTGTACGTGGTTGTAAAGCCGGCAAAGGGCTTCTTCGTGGAGGGGAGGGAGGTGCTTCATCTGCTTCCACCGGCTTTGTGTTCAATTGAGAAGCTTCTTGAACTGTGAGCCCTGCTTTAGCTGGTATCTGCTGTCGGGATCGAGTACGCTTTTGCTTCTCCTTCTCGTTGGCGGCGCGTAATTCCTTGTTTTCTTTCGCGAGTAAGATAGCACCTTGCATTGTAAGACGGAAGCCTTTTATAAGCTGGTTTAATGCACGATCTGACGGGCTAGGTGGACTTCGAGATCTTGTACGAAGTAAAGCTTTGATTGATGAAGCCTGCCGACGTAGTTCTTTCTCTGTAGCTGGGTTTTTGGTGTAAAATTTCGACTTGATTCACTACCCCGGCTGGGGAAGGGGGGGGGGGGGGGTTAGGTGTTCGAAGTCGAATATTAAGCTTTGAAATCACTTGATCTGGTGCAAAGGGTACTAAACCGGTAGATCGGAAGCTGCTTTAAAATGTCTCCGGTTTAAAAGCTTCAATTCATGCGTTTAGGTATGCTTCAAGAAAGTCAAGTTCATCAATATGGTTGATCCCGTTCCACATCTTCGTTTCATGTGTCTGACCGTAGGACCGTTTTAAGACCGCAAAACAGCCGAGGTAGTAAAAGGTGAGAAGCATGCGGAGGCATACAACTTGGTATCACCATATTTTGCTCGCAAATTTCGTCGATTTTGGGGGTTGAATAACTTCCGTGGTCGTTAAGTATCCAAAGTCGATACCCCTCTTCTTACGCGAAGAAGTCGAAGGAATAAATGATTTTTGAAGCTATCGAAGTCCAGTTTCATCGAAAGACCAACGGTTCGGACTAACTCCAAAACGTCAATCGTCGGCGAGTCCATCGAACCATGATTCAATAAAGACTTTGCCGTAAAAAAACACGCACGAAGTGAGCGCCGAACCCGAAGTATTGATACACCCAGTCCTCACGATTTCTGGGTTGCAAAACTTCTCGTAGTATTCATTTTTTGTAATAGCCTTCGCAGTTGCCGTCAACCCTATAGCGAAACCAGACTCATCAAAGTTCACGTCATCGGGGTCGATGGGGTACCAGTTTTGAACAAGATTAAACCACTCTCCAATAATCTTCGGATCTTCACATTTTGCGCGCTCGTAATTATACCGCTTCGAGAACGGGTATGAAAGGAGAGGGCGCCGATTTTACAGAACTGTAAACCCATTTCTTGCCGACCGAAACAATCGGGTAGTTCAGCACTGTTGAAGAAGATTCGCCATTTTGTAGAATGCCGGGGGGTCGCACCGCATAGATCCGTAGAGAGATTCTATTTGTGAAGCGGTTCCCCTTCAGTTTCTGTCCATTTATGTGAATTGGCGTCAGAAAGCGCGCGAGATGTAGTCCCACGAAGACGTGTCCGGAGGGTTGGACTCGGGCACGTTAAACTAGCGCGCTGCTTCGCGAAAAACGCTGGTTTCTTCATTCTTAATAGCCTGAATAGCTAAAATTCTACCTTTTCGCCCTGTTGAATTTCTAGAGGATCGGGAGCGAATCGGTGGCATGGTGGGTGGTTGAATTGACTAAGTGCTGGTTCGGTAGTGATTACGTTACCAAGGTATTATAGCCAGAAGATCACCTGACAATTGGAACGGTGGTACCATACAAAGTGTATATTATAAGTAGTCAGCATGTCCGTTGAAATTTCTCGTTTTGTGAATTTAGCTTGTTAGTTACCAGTAAAGGTTACTTACCATACAGCAGCGTATCATCAGTATTTGTACCCCAGTACTTCTGCCCTGACCGCTCTTTTTACACCGCCTGTCTATCATCTCTCTCTACCCGCTTACTCACTAGTGCTAATAGTGCGCGTAGTTAGTCATTGGCTTTATTATTCCTATTCTCTCTGCTTCTCAATCCTCTACTAGTTAATGTGGAAGAGGTAATTGAGTATCAAGCTTGACAAACTAGCGACTTGGAATATAACTAGTTAAGTATTCAGGGGTTACATCGGCAGAAAAAGAGTGGGTCTAATGTATAGGGGTACGACTGAGTACAATGTCCCCGCCAGCCCTTCATTTGACCCACGTCGTTGGCAGTCATGGACGTTATCTACCTTCAATTAGATACTTCTCAGCAATATGTACCGTGGTACGAAATATCTTCCCTCAAAGAAATCTCCAAGAGTCGTCGAAAACAGTTAGCTCTGCAGGCATCGCTCCTTGCTTCTTATTTAGCTGATGTGTCCTCAACGTCAATACCGTCAGCCCCAAGATGTGAGATCAGAAATGGGATCAAAGAAAGGGTCTTGCAATGCGCGAAAAGCCTATGTGTTGAGAATGCAATGCTCACCAAAGAGTATGCGGATAAAATCCAGACGACAAAGTCCATTATTTGCCAAGATGACCCGGCTGACGTAAAAGGCAAACGATGGGCGAAAGGGTATATAGAGGCGATATGGCTTACGTCTCGGATTCTAGGCAAGGGATATGCAATTCTCATGGGATGCGCTGTCGTAAAGCGCACTCAGTTGAGGATCTCAGAGTATGTCAACCTGATATCGTATTTGAAGTCCGAGAAAAGCCTGCTTGGTTGTATATCTCTTTGTGAGCGCAATGTCTTTGGTACGTAGTTATTTCCAGCGTCAGAGTCCAGCTTGGGCTTACTTCAAATCAGTTTCTCTAGGTCAAACGGTTCCTGCTAAGAGAGCTCTTCTCGACGAGGAAAACATGCGTAGTGTATCATCGAGTACAATTGGAGATAGGGCAAACCCTTGTATCACTGAAGGCGACCCTCCTCTCACAACATCTACAATTGTGCAGACCATTGAAACCGATTTCTGGCCACGGATTTCAAAGTCGGCGAAAGGATTATTTGGATTTCTGTGTTCGTTGGCGGATGAAAAGATACCCGAGATCTTGCTTCTTCGCATGATGGCTCAGACTGCTATTTGGGACGCTGATGGCGTTCTTCGCTCCGAAAATACACCTTATATTGATTGCATCGTGGGGGATCTCGTGTCTGGCAAAGCGTTTGACTTTGTCTTGTTGTTTAAATCCATTGGGTTGATCCACGAGCAATCGGGAGACTTTGGGAGGAAAACCTTCATCATCTCTGAAGAGATGCGATTGGCTTTTGGTCGAGATACGCTCTTTATGGAAGAATGGGCACGCCTTGTGCTGGTCTGTCATGCATTTCCAGGACACTGGGAAGAACAATGGTAGGACGATCCTAAACTTGATGTCGTTTATACCATAGTGTCAGATGGTTGACTTCTTGATATTCCAGGTTTCTTGAACACGGCCGTATTCTGCTACCTCAACTACGACATGCCTTTGATTTTTGCCCTTCAATGAAGAGCCGGGTTATTGATGATCCAATCCACGGGTACAAAGTGCTGCTGACACTTATACTATCAACGAGAGTGCCAGGCGCGGATTGGAGATTGAAAGCCATCAATATCGCAGAAGACATCCTTAGCGCCAAGCCCGAATTTGGAAATAGCAACCTCATCTACCTCGAAAGCCTATTGAATCTGCGAAAGCTAGAGACCTCTCGTAGGCTTCAGAGTGCCCACTTCGAGAATAGTGATGATCTTCACTCCCCAATCGACGCTCGGTCAAATTGCATCCACGGAGCATTGATAAGGTCCAAAGCACAAGACTATATCATGGAGAATCCCTCAAACTTGGAAGAAGCGGATCGCTTGTTGAGAACGTTCGGGTCATGGGATCCTATGTCACCAAGCACTATGGAGCTCTATGAGATCAACCTTCAGAAACTCATACTCTGCAAAATCCGGCGCTGGAAAGCAGAGTTTGGCCAGGCAGTGGAACAATTGGATGCGTTAACTCACTTTTTTGGACACAATTACGATGACACAGGATGCAACTTTTGGTCCCACTATGCTGGCACGCTTTGTGAGCTGCACCGGTTTACTGAGGCGGAGGAATGGTCGCGCCATACAATTGCGGCCCATCAAGACCTCCAATCAGATCGCATATTTGCCACTGGTCAGAAAAGATACCGAATGCTACGGCTTTCTCTCGCCGAAACGCTTTTGTCCAAATCTTTTGTGGAGCATGGTTTTGCGCTCTGCGAAACCGAAAACGACTTGGTCCCCGCAGAGCTAGAGGAATCGCTAATGATATATGAAGAGCTGAACAAAGAGTATCAAACACTGGCTAGAAGAGATTGGGCCTCGCGCCTCGAACATTTACGAGTCGTTCTGGGTAAAGCGATGATAGTCCACATGCGCGGTCTACTGGAAGATGCTAAGCAGCATTGGAACAACGTATTGACCATCGTCCAGTACTGTCAGGAAAACAATCAAGTCACCGGATTCTTGGAAATGGTTGTTCAATATTGCAGGTGTGATATCGCGGCACGACAAGAGGATTATAACGAAGCGCACCTCTTTTTAAAAGCCGCAAAAGCCCAATTTGCGGATATCGGTCGGGAACATTGGTGGACCTGCATTGGGACAGACTTCTTGGACCATTTACGCAATTCACTTGCGAAGAGAGATATGATCTCGGGAATTGACGAACGCTGAGGCTGGAAAATGCAGGCATAAGGGCGATATAAGAAGCGCCAAATGCTGTTGATGTACCATCATACTTCGTGAATTCTTTCTTATTCGTTTTTTTCCCACTGTTTTTGTATTTAATAGCTAGTCTACTTTGCGAGATATTTCTAGTGTTGTGAAGGTTTGATGTTATTTGTGGAGTTTGGCAATGTCCAGTTAACTAACGTATTTCACATAACGTATTCTACAAGCGAGCTGGCCACCTATTGGGGTGAAAAAGCGCAGAAGCTATTATTGTTGCAATGTTGTGAACTCAGTTTGAGGTGCGATCTCAAGGCAAGCTTCGATGAATAACTTCTAAGCATGTGACGTTAGGTTGAACTTGCTTCATGTCTGAATTGTGAATCTCTTCTCTTTTGGCTTCTGCAAGAAAAGGAAACGGGAGAAATGTTTGCTTGCTTGTTTCATCGAGAACTCCAGTGACCTACTTGTCTCTGATTTTATGCATGGTTAATAAAGGCGTACTGAAATTCTGTAAAGTTGTATTTCCACATCACCTGATTATTATCATATGATGGGCTAAAAAGCGAGAGAAACGGAAGAGGTGGCACGCCGCTTCTTGATGCGGAAAGACAAGGATCAGAAACAACGTGGAAATCCAAGTATTTTATTGCCGACATACTTTGGATCACAGAGTAAAGGCCAGCTCTAGCTTCGCAAATGGAGCAGACGTGTGACGGCGAACGCACGCCGAGCTCTAATGTCCGCCCCATTCCAAGATGAGTTGGTTCACGTGACTCTACAGCGATCCTGGGTATACGTAATCTAGAGCACCAATCATGGGTGCAAAGAACTGATCTCCCAAATGGCAATGAGGGGTGTGATTACATAACGAAGAAACTACGCGGAAAACCCACAAACCCCTTTCCCAACTGCAGCATTCGTTCCGACATGAATTGCGCGACAGCCAAAATATAAATAAACGAAACTGATAAAAAAACAAGCTCAAAATAAAACGAATCCCCCTCGTTGCAATAGTGTTGCTGGAAAATAAATATCTCAATAACCTTGACTTTCCCCCGAAAACAATGGGCACAACTGATCATATTGCTCGAGCACAACCCTACGCCTTCCCAGTCCACGGATGAGCTCAGCGCACCATCGCGAGACTCCATACGCTGCCTCAATATCACCCCATCTGGAGAGGACTGTCACGGGCCCATACCGTAACAACAATATTGGATCTTATGCGCGTTTCCCGCTGTCAGAAGCGTTGATGACCATGGACGTGAACAGACTGAATGAACTAGAAACGATTGGCCCACAACCGCTGCCACCGTGGCGCGGCGATGCCTTCACGGAGTTAGAGATTGAAACAGACCGGAAACGGCGAGGGAACGGGCAGTGAGTGTGCGGTCCAGGTAGCGGAGCTTATAGGTGTTTCACGCCATCAGCACGATTTTCTGGCCACCAGCGCTCGAACGGCATACGCAGAGAACGGACTACTGCAACAACATTGTGAGGCAGCAAATCGGCCTTGCAAGCAATCGAGAACGCAGAGAGCAAATCAGGACAACGCATCATTCTCGCGATTCTCCAAGCAGCCATCGAGGTCCGAGCACAGATCATTGCCCTCCGCCTTCAGTGAATTCTAGGATATTGTAAAGCCCTTGGACTTGCGCAGCAGACCCACTAGCCAAGGCGGCCGCGTACCAGGCAAAACCCACCCCTTTCGCCCGCTGCTGACGGGGAGAAGGCATTTATTCGCGGTAATATTCACGCTCAGTGGGAGCGCGAGTGGCGTTCCGGCACCAAAGACGGTCATCTGCGAGAGAGCCGCCGTTTGTACCGGCGAAGTATACCCGAAAGGCTGTACGGAAACCTGCCCAGGAACTGAGCATACCTGCTTACGCAGCTATGCACGGGCCACAGTTGGTTGTCTTCCTACCTATACAAAACAGTTTGGCTTTCGTGATGATGATAAGTACGCGTGCGGCGCGCAGGAGACGGTCGTCCACGTTCTGGTGGACTGTTAAAGGCGGAATATTGACTCCAGGATCCAGAAGTAGGGTCCCAGGAGTGTAACAGCTCCCAGATCTGGTCCACGTATTCCTAAAGCCAGTTTTGCGTTCATTCAGGAAGTATCAATGCATTTATAAGGAAGAACATCGAGACTCCCGACCCCACTAGTTGGTTTTTCTGCCAACAATCTTTGTCTTGACTCAACACAGGTCCACTGAGATGGAATCCATGTCTGTATTCCCTTTGTCACCACCGTCAGGTATGATGGGAAAAGGACTTTTACCTACCGACATGTTTTCCAGCTTTTACATATCTAAAATCAAGCGAAATTGCTACAGATTTTGCGTGTGCATTGACATTTAGTACTTGCAAAGATGAAACGGTCGCGTGGTGTTGGTGCTCTCATTTTTAATTTTCAGAACTTCATTTACATAGGATATAAGCGTGCTCCAAAACTCAAAATCACGGCTATGCTCTCTTTTGCTGATCCCAATGCCAAATATCAGGTCACATGGAGTCGCGTGTGATTGACAGTCGCTTGGCTAATTTCGCATTTCCCTCATACCTCCGCTGTGAACTGTGATCACCTACGCTGAGTGGAAAACAGTCGTGCTGACCGGCAAAGGGATGCAGAAGTGGAAGGGTCTCGCGGTACATGAGGCCCTGCTAGTCTGCCTGAGCGACGGGGGCTATTTTCCACACTCTACTCGACTAACATTCCATGGGATCTCACTAAACGCGGACGCGACTCATTCTGACGAGGGTCGTTTGGTGATGAATTTGGGAAGTTCGCTATCGGGAGACGATTCACTTGCCGTGTGGACATGACGTGTCTCGATATCCGACGGTTGGACTCGAAGTGGGCGAATCAAGGCGTCTAAAGTTCCTTCGTCTCAACTGTATTCATCAGCATCCCGGGCATTGAATAATCGGAATCAGCCGTACTTGCCACACACAGCATGACGTGCCAGAACCTGTATTTCGCTTTTCCAGCCACTCTTCCTCGCAGGCCAGGTGGGAAAGCGGTGGGAAAGCGTCTTGCACTAACAACGCAAGATCACACGCTCATTTGCAAGATTTTCATCCTCGGTCAGACAAAACACACAGTGGATTTCGTCGACCTCTTCACTCAAGCTGAGGTCCCGGAGCGTCAAGTTTTGGACACCCGTCCGGAAATTAGCGACCGATGTCGGGATAGCTGGTCGAGCGGGCGAAACGTGCCCCGGAACACTGTTGGTCCGCAGCATTGCGGCAGTGACAAAGGGATTGATTAATTGCACTGGCTCGGGCTTGTTGGCAGGGGCACCGGCGGGTCTTGCCTCAGCCCGTGTGGTGACCGGTCAGTGTTGTCTGATTTCGCAGGGCGTCGCCTGGAGGCTGACGATGCCTGACGCTGGCTCGTATTTATAACAACTGATGGAGAGCCAATTCTAGAGCCATGTGGCACTTGTGCCCGGTTGCGGACGGCTGCTTCAAACCACTGCTGGCCAACTTGTTCGACCTGCTGGTACCGGTGCCATCTCGCACAGAGGAATTCTTTGACAATGGCACACCAGTACTGCAAGTATATTTACGGCCGTGATCATGGACTCATATACATCCATGTCCGCTTGTGCTCGCGCCAGCATTAGGAGGAAATGCATTATCACCCGCAAAGTCGACCCTCTGATTTTCAATAAAACCACCAGCTGCTTTGGCAAGTCCGTCCAAATCCCCTTTGGTTGACCAAAGTATGCAGCATGGATGAATTATCAGCAGTGGGGGGTGTCAATGGCCATATCCGATCTCTAGATCTTTGCTTGCTTCGGAAGGCTATACTTTGGTCTATAGGTATGTTCTAGAACCAACGCCTCTGACATCCAAGAAAATTTGTTCTAGGGCTTTTCTTGTTTTGATGATCCAGTCCAAACCACACAGCCCAGGCGTTGTTTGCTACAGATATTATCCATACCATGTTTGAGATCGTCACGAGGATATTCTATTGTCGTACTATGAGATGGGGGTCTACATGGTAGGAATAGGAAAGTCGGCCTGGAAATTGTAGACTACCAGCAAAAGTCTTCACATGAGACGTAAGTGTTAAATTGCGGTCGAAATTCTAAAGAGTTTCCGAATCTCTTTGTTTGTGGTATTGAATAATTGCCCACTGAAGCCTGGTTACGTGGTGTTTGACTGTTTTAGTTAGTTTGCCAGCTGCTCTACACTGAGGTGGAGGGGACAACATACTAGCCTCAAAATATTCTGCTTGTTGAGCAGTCATCAGGGCTAGCTCGGATTCAAGATCTTTCTCATACCGGTCCATCTCTGCGACCAATTGGCGGGCAACATCCATCTTCTTGACCATGTGCCGGTCTAGTTCGACGGACCTTCCCTCGATAGAGTAGTGGCAGCTTCCATCCCTTTTTCCGTTCGATACTCCATTCCTGATAATCTCCAGCCAACCAATCCCTGGGTTTTGGTGTCATCATGTGGGAAAGGAGGATCACAGCCCATGATAAACAGTAGGCAGCCTTCGCGTCCGTGACTGTTTAGGTACTGTTGGGACAAGCCCTCTGGCCAGGTTGGCTCGAGTACATTGAGGTGCTTGTGGAAGGGTTTGAATGACGGTGAAGGCATAACATTCGTCGTTGTATGGCTGATGATATTCTACTGCGTCAGTTCAAGTCGTAACTGGTTACTCGCTCTTCGCATACCTATGTAAACGAGACAACCAGCCTCCAGGATGGGATGAATGAAGCGAGCAAAACCACGAAAAAGAAGGATGGTAGTGGAATGGTAATGTGAACTTCGAATCTTCACGGGTGTTGTATATATTGTATATATACATGAATTTCAGGTTCGAACTAGCCCATTCTGATTACCTCGTACTTATGTATAAAAATTCTAATTGGGAAAATAAAAGGGAAGGACGTAATTTCGAATATGATCGAGACCCCACTTCCCTAAGCACCCGGCAGGGTTCGGAAAACAGGCATTTGCATGCCGCTGCAGCGTGATCACGATATCACACCTCATCCTTGCCGTTTCGCTCCACCCCCTTTTTTTCCTCTCCGGTGTACTGTGGCCACTTTGTCCGCTCCACTTGGCAACTCAGAGCATGGAGTTAGGCAAATCAGCAACAGGTCAACGTATGGTGACCCACTGCCATGACTACAGCCTTTTCAGCTCGATCTACTATATAATAGACAGATTTTTGTATCTGCTTTCCAGCGTGTTTGGGTTCGTCGATTTTAGGGTATGTCTCCGTACTACGGGTCAGGAGGAGGTGCCAGCGCTGTGGTCAACCGCACGTTCCTGGTCTCCTTCGGGACGAGACCCTAGATATCTAAGTTTAGAACAATCTCGGCTCCTGCTACACATATGTAGATCCTAGCTCATGGTTCAGCCATAGGCTAGGGATCACGTTCAGTTCGAATACATCTCTAGGATGGCTTCGTAGGAACGGGAGAAACTTGTCAATGGTGACATGGACCTGGATTTTTTTCTTTTGATATTCGGTGGGAAAATTGCGACGATTTACGATCAAGTTACTAAAGTATGATTGATATATTAAAGAGCTAGTGACCAAATTAATGACAAGGAGGTCTCGTGTATCACATGAAACAAGGGAATAACCTTCAACATTCCTTGTTTTGTACAGTATTGATACTGAATATTATTTCAGCACAGACTTCCCGGCCTAACGAAGTGGGTTTATTTGTTTTCTCGCGATTGATCCGTAATCAGTAATCATTATGGCTTAGCCAATGGCGAAATCCGCATATAGCGTCTAATAACTTCACCTTGGGAAAGGCGTGATGGACACTGACGTTTTTGATGTGATCTTCAAAGTAGGAATGGGGCACTTCCCAATGTCTTCATGTACAGTGATACAGCAAAAGTTCGGACACCACTTCTGCTACCGTTGTCCCGAAGTGGCCATACCGCCTGGTATATACAGTCTTTGATTAGTGATGCCTGACTGACGGAATAAGGGGTGTTCAAACCTCTGCAATGTCACTGTAGGCTTGCAATTTTTCGTTTCTTTTTTTTTTTTTGCCGAAAAAGTCCCTAGATACGGCTTTTCTTGAAAATATGACTTGAGCGTGGTTTCTATACACCTTACGACACGTACACACCCAATCCAAAGGAGTATTAGTCTTAATACCAGGGCATCTAGTGTGCCTTTAAGGCTTTTCTATTTCGCCCACAGTCAAATCCCGCTATAAATTCGATATCATTCTACTTCTAAACTTCGTACTTCTGGGCACCTCTATAGATGACAACCTGTCAGGCTGAATCCTCATTAAACCTCTTCCTGCCGCACAAGTTCTAGTCTCGGTTTGTTGTCAACTAGGAAACTCAGGGGAAATGATCAGGCAACTGGAGGCTCCGACGTACACTGAGGATCAACTAAACGAGGAAGTGCGGGAAGCCTATATCGACCTTGCCGAGGTGGAAGGGCAGTGCATCAACTACCAGGCAGCATGCTGAATCAAAAGTGGACCTATCACACGATCAGTGGCTGGTACTCATTTTGAGGCACCAGGCGCTACTCGACGAGCATCATGACTTCCTCCTCCTTTCTCAACACCCGTCAGCTGGTTGTGCTCTCAAAGACCTAGCCGACAGGTATGAAATGCCAGCGCGCATGTGGCGCCATGGAATCTATTCATTCCTAGAGCTGTTACGTCGGAAACTCTCCGGTTCGATGGAGTATATGCTATCTATCATCTATTTTTCGTACACGAGGATAGATTTACTACTGGAAAGCGTACCGCTTTCAGAGACTTGGATCGAGTGCCTAGGTGACCTGCCACGTTATCGAAAGGTCGTTGGACCCGACATGGACCCCGAACTCTGGGCAGAGGCAAAGCCCAGGTAATGGCCGCATCCAGCATCATCTTGCTGTTTTATCTCGCCCAGACGTCTTTCAAGGGTTCTTTCACTACACGAAAGCATTGATATGCGTGTGCCCATTCCCAGGTGCTCTCGATGGCATGACTCGGCTAGTCACCCCTCTTATGAATATGCCAGCTCAGGAACGAAGTATGACCACTTCGTTCGTGGCTACTCATGGTGCGCTTTTCATGCAGGCTCCGGTTGAGGAATTCGTTTCTCAGGCGATTGAATTTCTTGCTGCCTTACGCAAGAATGGATTAGAAGGGTAGCAAGGCATCCAGATCACATCTTGTAATATCTCCACGATATTTCAATATGGAAGCAAAGAAAGTGTCATGATATTTCGTCTCAGTTTACGTTCCGCGCGATTTCTCTCGCATTTCATACATTGATTACAATACTCAGGCAACCTGAAGACTCAAATGTGTCTTCAAGTGTGCACATCTCAATGGCATTTGTCTGGTGTCTTACGTTAAATCCGGACGCCATAGACCGACTGGAGCCTCTGGTTCCATAGTCGCTACTTGGAACGTATTTGAACACCCTGTTCAGCCACGATACCATTCTGTCAAAAGTTGAGGACGAACCATTCCCGCATCTTGAGGGCGCAAGGTTCCAACAGCTGCCGGAAGACCTCTTGATTAGAGTACAGGCATGGAGTCAGCTTTACTACCCCGAAAACTTCTTCGACGGGGATCCTACACAGGGCGACGGACTATCAGGCGAAGAACCTTCGGCCTTTATGACTAGAAAACATCGAGACCTTTGACTTGGAGTACGCATTGCAACGGTATGTTTTCTCTCCTTCATCTTCAAGAGTACATTAACTTACCGTCTTCTACTAGTCAGAACGCTAGATGACATATACTCGCAAACGAATTAGCGCCAATAGCAGAATCCAGAGCTCACCTCTATGGCAATCCTCTCTCCTCACGAACTGAGACGTCATCCTCTGACTAGGAGTAGGAATTTTGAGGAAGATTTCGAGTCTTGTATAATACTGGGAGTTACGTTACATTGGTTAAATTAATGTCAAGCCTTCTTCGGTTTTTACGCTTCCAGCGAACTGAATTCGATCTAGCAACCTTAGGTGTGCAACTTCTCGGCATTGTCACATCCCTCGTTCACCGAGTCATCTTGCCTATTTAATACGCATGTTTATAGTCAATTTCAGATATACCAAACCGACTTTCAATCCCCTCGCGCATCGCGAGATGAAAGACAGCCCCGGGGGGGAATTTCTCCTCAGTAGGGCCATAGTTTACTTTGGTATTTTGATTTCTTCGAGTATCCTATATCCTTCATAGTCGGGCAGTTACAGGCCCATTTGTGTCGCCAAACTCCAATTTCAGCAAAGAATATGATTTTATCATCAATTGTGTCACAAACGAGGGATATCATGTTTCGAGGATTCATACTATTTTCAGTTGAGTAATGAGGCCCATTGAAGCTGTGAAAAATCACCCAGGCGCTGAATCCACCACGCGATAGTGCTGCAAAGAGCAGTTCGGCACCTTAGGAAGCCTTCCCAGATCCTCAAATTTAATGGACCATTCTTCCGGTACAGATAGTACAGCCTCCTTGTGGTCACTTTCACATGGTTCCAGCTTTTCCCACCAGAGGCTGCTGTCTTGCATATCGTAGGGGATCACATAGAATGTCGGATCTACAAATACTCGTCCTCTAATACTAGCCCGCCAACAATGATTTCGATAAAGTTCCCATGCCTTAGAATTCTGCCAAGGCTCAACATGCCGTTCCGAATAACCCGGCCAGGGCTCAAAATTCTCCCGGCGCTTAGAACCCTCCCAATCACAGACCTTGGCTTGCTCACACAAGAGGTGCCAGACTTAACATTAGAGGAAATGGTAAACCACTGTGTTTGTCCAGGTAGCCGTGACAGAGCGGTACAGAGTGTTATGCCAGAAGGCAGAGACCCGGATCCATTATTAGGAGCGATGCTCAGCTTTATGTCGCTCGGCTACGAAGATTGACAAAGACGGTTTATCCCAGGACGTTGGGAACAGCATCGTAGTCTACAACCAGCGCAGTAACACCAATAACCGATTTCAAGTGTCCTACAGCCATGATTCCGGCGGTTCCGCTCTTCTCTTCGCTCAACACTCTAAAGATATATGGGAAGCTTTATTCTCCAATTACCATCTGCTGTCGCCGAGAACAACACCTGAAGCCATAGAAACGTGATCAATTAGACGCCTAGACAAGCGAGTGTGGCGGATCGAACAAACCACCTCTGTTGAAATCTTGATAACTCCCGGGGCTCCCTCCTAAGAGTGTTGGGCTGGGTCATTCGCTAGGAACTACGTCAAAGTCAAGGTTCAGCCTAGTGAACATGACCAAGTTTCAAGATATTGGTAACGGCTACGCAGTTATTCACTACTTATGTTAAATTCGTTGAGGCCGAGCTGTGAGGCAAGAGGCCGATAGAATTTGCGGATCGCTCCCATCCCCACACGCCGACTGGTTTCCTCGAGTGGTCGGCTGGGTAGGAAAAGGCCTACACGGGGCTGACACAAAGGCAATTTCGTTCTTCCCGTCCCCGAGGAAAGCACAAAACAATGGGCAGAAGGAGCACGTCTGCCTCGCCAGCTCTTTTAGGAGCCGTTTTGATATGGTGATCAGTACCACCCAGACAGTGAATACATTTGACGATGCGCCCGTTGCACCAACACCGTTATCGTCGATCAATCGATCAATTGATGTATTGATTCATCTATATACTTTGAAACATAAATCAAAATCAAGCGCTCGTCATGGGAGGTGGGAGTGGATTGGCATCTGAAAAGAACACTGACGACAGGCGGAGCACCAGTGTGGACCCCACCGACAACCTCCCAACAACCAAACTCGTCCTGTCTCCCACACGGTGCACTCACTGGAGCAACTCGACACGCTTCCTAGATCCCCTCGCTCTACAGAAGCCGGCCTCGACACTTCCCCGTCGACGGTCGCCACTCGGGGGCGCCCTCGTCTCGCGCGTGCGCGCACCGTCCAAAAGCATCACCCAAGCTGGACGTGTCCCTCGAGTGACCGTCTACGCGACCACCGCGTCCGCCATGGTATAAATTACCGCCATCCGCTCCACGCTCCATCGACCTTTTGCTTCCTTTATCTTCTTCTTCTCACTCCTGCCAAATAGCAGCATGTCCGCCCTCGTTCTCCGTGAGAGCATAAACCACGTGGCAGCCCAGCTCAAAAACCCACACCTTGACGATATTCACGAGTTGATGGTCGATGAAGTGGTACGCATCGTTACTCTGCTATGTGGTGGGAGCTCCCCCGATGTCATGGCTCTGAAGTGCTGACTGAGTGAACAGTTTGCGGCCAGGATGGACAAAGTGTGTGAGCTGTGGTACGAATTGCGCATCAGCCCGTCACCGCGACCCCTGAACCGCTATCGCTATCACAAGAACAAGAACAAGAGGAAGACCAAGAACCGCCTTTATAACCAGCTGTATGACGAATGGTGCCCCAAAGATCTCAGCCCGGAGGCGGAGGCGATCATCTGGAACTGGGCCATCCGCCCCGACTCCTTCTTCTTCAACCAGGTAGCAACCACGCCTATTGTCGGCCCGAGTGACCACAGTCCCGAAATTGCCACGCGGTCGATGTTGGATTCAGTTTGTCGCCTTTTGAACCATCTAGATACCCAATTCACGGTCGATTCCATCCGTTGGCGATTGCTCCTATGCTTCCTCACGGAGTTTGTCGATGAACAGATCGCGGGCGTCAGCAGCACGGCCGAGATATGTCTCCTTCTAGTTCAAAGGAAGCTAGTCTCTCCCGAGCTAGAGCAGACGCTAGCCGCCAACCTCTCGAAGTTGTTGAAGGCTGGCCGCGGGTACTTAAGCCTGGCTAAAGAGCTCGGAGGCTGGGGCTCTCTTGTCCACCTCCCTCCCTTCGGCCGGACTACGTACGAACATCACTACCACCCGGCTGGCCAGACGTATCGGTTCGCGATCATTCAAAGGCTCAAGATGCAGGTGCCAAAGGCGGCTAATTACAAGCGCCAAGACGACCGGAACGCCTATGAGGTTGCCGACGCCCTCCGCCAGTACTGGCGCAAGAACTGCCCAACAACCTTCCTAAGCTATGACCCTTTCGAGGTCCGAGGAAATCCGGCCGTGGTCCGGCGGCCAAGAAACCCCGACACCCCTCCTTGCATATCGCGACGACGTGACACCCATCGCCCCCCACAGACGCCTCCCCCGGCCGGCGGGACAATGGGTGGGGAGTTCCCCCTTGTGGCAAGACCCGCGGTACCCCTCGCCGGCAGATCAATCGCGGTGGGACAGTGGCGATCTGACGCCAGACGGCGCGTCTACGACACAGCACTCCTTCATCACCCCCAATGGCGATGACTGTCACCTGATCTTTCCTGGCTCCCCGGCCCCGCTCGTCGTCTAGACGAGCCCGTGAGAAAACGACCGCCCCTGATGCATGTGTGCTGCCAATCCAGATGCGCGTGGCTGACCTAATACCATCGAAGGACCCTGTCGGCCATTCCTCTAACGCACACTGGCCCTCCTTGCGAAGAAGTCTTGGATCTGCATCTGCTCCCCGTGGAAGGGCAGAGGCATAGCAGATGAACACGTTTTAGTTGGTATAACCGTTTAGGTTTCGACATCACACCTCCAGAGGTCTTGTTTATCCCCGGATCATGATATTTGGCGATGGTGGCACCCCTAGAAGTAATACGATGTGATAATCAGGAAAGCCTCATTGACTGTATTACCCAAGACGAAGCTGATAACAGAGACCTTGGTTCTTGTCCACGACTTCGCTCAAATGCAAAATTGTGAAAAGCAAATCCTATGTATTAAGGCGTGGAAGCTGATCTCGAGTTCTACTTTAAGTATCTACATGGCCGTCACTTCTGAATGCATATACGGCGACTCATCTGGGCCCATCAAACCCAATCCTCTTTGCACCCTCTCACACGCTCGTTGGAGACTGCATTGGTATGTAATTGGGATAAATTAAAAGACGCCCGGCAAGGTAGCCCACCTTCGCAAAAAGCGGCCGTCCTCTGTCCAGACTTGGGTTCGTTGCCTTTGGCTGCAAAGATCGACCAAGACCACCTAACCTACAGTGATATTCGAAATCGTTTTTACCTCCCACCTGTCTCTATTATTCCCCAATGCCCCACGCCCTCTACTATGTTCGATGAAATAAACAATATACCCAACCTGGGTTTAATACAGGCGTTTATATATATATATTTACGTTTAACTTATAAACGGCGGACATGTGAATTACTATATCGGGTTAGTTTTCCCTTTTTAGGTTTAGCGCCCCAATGCGCCGTCACGTAACCTCCCTTCAATGCCCTCCGACATAAAAGAGCCTTCTTCGCCGCTCCTCCCTTTCTCTCACTTTTTCATTCTTCCTACCTCTCTATCTTGCACTCATTGCCGCCCCCTCTCTTTTACTCTGGCCCCCACCGACTACTGCACATTTGCTTTCAGCCCGACGCACTGCCCCTTTCATTTTACCGGAGATGCCGCTTGATCCCACATCCAACTTGCAATGCCTGTCACCCAGAAGCGTAACCACTGGGATGATACAGCATCCTGTTCTTTCGTATCGATGATCCCATTCCTTCCCTAGGGCAGTGACTGAGCACCATGCTACGAGGATATCTAAGTCTCCCTCTGCCAGTGCGCCTTTTCGTATCTGATTCCGCGGGCCTCCCTTCAAATCTGCAATGTGCCAGTATACCCTCGACGCTGCATATCCCTCTCCCGCCGCACCACCTGAGGTTGCATTGCACAGCCCCGGCCAAACGCCCAGTTGTCGTCATCGTCGGCCTCTCCGATCCCTCTCTACCCAATCAGTGAAAACTCGAAATCACAGCTCGGTCATTTGGGCCAATAGCGAAAATGCCGCACACGCCCTGGACCTTGGTCGATGCTGCATCTAGATGCTGCATCTTGTGGTCAATGCGAGACTGCAACTACGGGAATTTTTGCCAGTGAGCCATAACTTGTTGTGGACTATGAAACTGGTATGGTCTAGCGTCCTCGACTGCAATGGGTTGGATTGCAGGATCTGGTTGAGATTGTCTACTCTTGGTAGAAGAAGGATTACATCTTCCGGGCCTCCGTCGTCGTCTATAAAAGAGACTACAATTCCACCAATATGGCAAAACTGGAATTCGAATCACCTTCAAATTCTCCTCTTCGCCTGTTCCTTGTTTTCTGCCGGTTTCTTTGTTTTATGAGTGCCCGCAGTCACCACATCCCAAGAGTCTTTAGCCGTCTCTTCCCTATATGTCAAACGTGAGTTTTCCTTTGTATTTTTTTCGGCCCCGGAGTTGCGCATGATGCCTCACCCGACTGGACGCTGATCCTCACGCTAAGCAGCCCTTTGGAGACGATCCCTTCGCCATGGTTCTCTTCTGGCGAGGCGCAGCAAGGCAGACCGTGGACTTTTTCGAATGTGAAACGCTTTGATCCAATGGGAGAAATGCCGCATACACCGTCGGCCTTGCGCGTGACTCCCACAGTCTTCTTGGTTTCACTGTGCGGAACCGCACTCTGTCAAACCGACATAACGTTGAGGACACGTTGGGTCTAAATCACCAGCACTCTCGACTCGGTACGCTTTCCTTCATTCAGGCCAATCCAACGTTGCATTGCACAGCCCCCGGTATCGCAGATCTGCCTACAGCTTCCTGTTTCTGGACGCAGTAGCGCACAATTGTCAGTGTGGGTCTCCGGGCCCTCTGATCCAGTGGATGTGTCTTTGAAGTCACCAAAAGATGGTATTTTTCAGTGGCGAGAAGAAAGCGCTGCCTCGTCACGAGGTTAAGGATGGCCTGCGACTGCATAAACTCGCTCATAATCATGCAGACAACCAGCGAATGAATGAGCTGAAGGCTACAGCGGATCCGCATTGTAGACCGTCGGCGAGCGCGATAGGAAGATACAGCCAGTGGCCTACGATCCATGTTCTGCAATCTGCGTGATACCGCGTCATTGATGATTTGACCTTGATTGGGTGAGCTATTCAAATATTCTGCGCCAGGTTAGAGAGGCCAGCCAATTAACCTTAGGGGCGGCCCCTAAGAAAAACTACACCCCACTCAAATGGCAGGACTAGACTTCAACTTGTTCCTCACTTGTCCCCCATCTATGCTCACATAAATTACAACGTATTTTTATCAGCAGGACTCGCTGGCGGCTTCAACTGGGAAATGTATTTGGTAACCTACAATTTCCGATTCTTACAAATGCGCCGGAACTGCTTCGTGTCTTGGACGAAATGTACTTGCTCGGATGACGCGTTCCGGGTTTTCAGCACCAAGGGATCGGGGCGAATATGCTTTGTACTGGTGCACGACACTCAGGAAGCAGCGGCTATCTTTAGCGGACACGTAGAAAATGCCATCGGTTTTTTGATGAAGCTCAGAGACGTAAGAGAAGAGCTAGCTTAGTCCGAAGGGTCAGGCAATTTGTGTAATATTTTGTCATGTCTAAATCTGAGAAGCATTTCCAAGTCCCAGTGGGAACCATTTTAATTTGAAAGAGGGTCTTCCTTTTACCGACGTCATTTTTCGTCGCTTCTCTCTAGTAGGTTCTTGACTTTCTGTACATACTCTGTATCTCCCAACTCAGGATACAAACGAAGTACAGTATCTAACTGTGACCTCGCAGCCCTGATGTTCTTTTCTGTCCGTGGACAGTGCGTCTTGACAAAACTCTCATGGACGTCTTTGAAGTGGAAGGCTGACTGGAAAAACAGTCTCTTTCCAGAGTCATTCAGCAACGTTGACAACATAAGTGGCGGGTGCTGTGGAAGCTCTTTCTTCTTGATAGAATCCTCAAGGTAAAGACGGTCTTCTGTGAAGCTTTCGCCTTCTGCCACACCATCATTATTCCATCCAGGAATGTCGGCTATGAACCAAGGGTGGTGAATAATGGCTGGCAGCGGTGCCACAGACATCCAATCCCAGTCAATGACCCTATGTTTGATTCCGTCTGTTAGAACGAGGTTATACAGTAGAGAAGCGACTTTTTTCGCCTACCCTGTCAAGTGAAAGTCGTCGCTTTTCATGATATTGTGCGCATTCAGATCCCCATGAGTAAAGCCGATGCCAGTGTATTTATCAAACTCAGCAGCATAATTTGGGATCATCGACCGCATGATCAGATAGTCAATAGCATTGCCCCATCTAGCAGTGCCATTGAGGGTTCGTCGAAGACCTCGGTCCAGGCTTTTCGTGAGCCAGACTGAGTATAGACAATTTTTCTCTGCAACAAAGGCGGAAGGAACAGGAGTAGTCCATAGTTGCAACAGAAATTCTGCGAGGTCATCCAGAAGCCTTTGACGTTTAACTAGAGGGATTTGAAAATTCCAGATCGCTAGCGGCTTGCCACTGACCCATTCTGAGTACAGCACAGGGTGTTCTGCTTCCACAAAAAGGTTTGGCGCTTTGATCTCTGCGCGTTGCTGTTTAACATGCTGGAATTGTCTAACGGCTCGCAGTTCGTTTTTCCAATTATTGGAATCGGTATTGACTCGGGCAGCCCATCGTACGGAGTCTTCAAAGACAACTTCGAATACGCGGTGTGAGCCGCCGTGGCAAGGATGTTCGTCAGCAAGTGAGCATGGAACTCCCAGGCGAAGGCGGCTAGCTTCAGAGAGCAGATCAAGCGAGCCTGCCATATTGGAACTTCTGGAAATGAAACTGACCGTTGTGTTTAACAATGTGAAATGGCAGGAAGAGAGGGAAGTAAAAGAATAAGGTACATGGGCAGCAGTGGGAGTGGGTCCCTTAAATATGGCTTATATAATCATACTGCTTAACGTATTTCACATGCGAGCCGCCACCACAAGCGAGCCGCCATCTCTATTGCCTTTCTCACACTTCAATTGCCAGCAAACCAACCCCAAGCCATCTCCATGAAACCGGACGACAAAACGGATTGTGAAATTATTGAGCTTCCTGACGTTGTATTTGTCGAAGGCAAGGTTTATTTGCGCGAAAGAAAAACATAAATCGCTTGAATGGTCAACTACACATTTGAAAAACAAAAAGCTGGCTGTGATCATGTGTCAAACATTAGTCAAGGACCGAGATCTTTGAATTGGATGCTTGTTCTCCGAGTTTGAGTGGACCGTCACATGAGCATGCCTCGAGCACTTTTATAATATTCAGAAAACTATATCTATGTGCCTAAAGGAAAAGTAGACCCAAAACGGCGGTCCTGGCTGAGACTGCTCTGCAAAACTATGTGGGTATTCACCCACTAGTGGCCTCGACAGACCGGTCTAGCTCCGTAGACAGCGTACTGTCTATTTAGGGTATAGCTTAAAACGTATACCGCATACCCTAAAATAGACAGTATGCCGTCTACGGAGCCCTAATCGGTCTATCGAGACTAATCGGTTGATTGCGCCAATGACCTACCGCTGTGCTACCCTGTCGGGGGCGGGCTTATATTACTAGACGACATGATCCAAAGTAGTCTTCCGCACGACCCAGTAAAACCCATACCCACCCAGACCTAACCCAGTCTGGGTTGGGTTTTGGGTCGAAGGGTTCGACCCAAATGGGTTCTGCGGAAGCCTATCCAAAAGGCTACGTAATGGCCCCATTTAATTGTATTAATTTGCCTAATGGGTGTTCTGCGCATTTATATCTCATACTTCGTACCTTTTACCTTTTACCTTTTACCTTTTACCTTTTACCTTTTACCTCGCACCTCGCACCTCGCACCTCGCACCTCGCCTTTTTCGGGATAGGGGGTGGACTATAAAAGTGTCGAATCTCACATTGGAATAGCTCAGCTCTTTTTCAAGATACTCGAGAATCCTTCAGTGTCGTTGCTCACAAACTCCGTGATTCCGACCCCGACTTCCTGCAGAGCCTGCGCATCTCTCATATTTGCTGTTATCAACACTAGGAAACTTCTTAGAAGCTAAGACTTGTCATTGTAAGTACCTTCTTCGGACACTCCCATTCATCGGCTTACCTGTATATAATACCCAGCCCGAAACCCACATCGCAAAATGAGCAATGATCAGCTTCCCGCACGCAGTTCCCATACTCAAGATCAACCTACAAACCCGACGGGTTATATCGACAAAGCAATTCGGCTCGACTATCTAGCGGTTCGGGCCACTGTTGATGGTCATCCTGATCTTCCCGCGCTCTTAGACAACCTCGGGAATCAGCTATATGATCGATGGCTGCAAACAAAAAACGCCAATTTTCTCAACGCAGCGATCGAGTGTTATCGGGTTATGGCTCAGAATACTGCTCATGATCATCCCGACTATCCAGCGCGCCTAGATAGTCTGGCGGAACTGCTCGACTGTCGATACGGATCTACAGGACTTTTACCTGACCTTGATGACCTTGATAGTGCGATTGCACTCACTCGTACTGCAATCCTGGCCACACATAATGACAACCATAGCATTGCAGAGCGCTGGAACGACCTCGGGAGAAGGCTTGAAACATTGTTTTTTTCTACTAGAGGAAAGATCGCCGATCTCGACGAGGGAATTCAGTTCTCTTTCCAAGCGGTTACGGCCACCCCTGAAGACTCATTTCATCTTGCAGGGCGCTTGGTCGACCTCGCTCGCAAATTCAAAATACGACACGAGTTCGCATCGGCAGGGACAGACGAGCTCGATAGGGCGATTTCGCTATATCGAAGTGCTCTTAAGGCTACTTGTGATAAACCTCAATTTCGGGCAGAGTGCCTACGCGACCTCGGAATTGCCTTGGAAATCCGATATGGAGATATTGGAGAGCCATCTAACCTCCAGGAAGCGATTGCCCTAGCTCGCGACGCAATAAACGCGATGAAGGCCGTCGATCCTAACCATCCTTCGCTTGGGGACTGCTTCCACGAGCTCGCGACCAAGCTCGGACTTCTATACGAAGAAAAAAAGTCGATAGATGACCTCGATGAGGCCATTGCATTGTCTCTTAAGGCGATCAAGGCGGGTGCTCTGTATGGAGAGGTTTTTGTCAACTTAAGAAAAATACTCGCACTTCGATACACGAGAACATACCAGATCAATGATTCTCAAGAAGCAGCCAAGCGGGCGGGAGAAGCAGTTTAGAAGGAGCATTACCTTCTTTTTAGGGGTGAGAAATAACTTAGAACCAAGTGGGACCGTCAGAGAATACCAAAGGCATGAAAAATTCTCCAGCAAACCCGCACCGCCAATCCAACTGCAATAGCCCGAATCCTCTTCAAAAACAGTGGATGGGAAACCTGACCGACTTTGGAATTAGTACGCAGATTCTGGTTGGAAAGTAGTTTACATACCTAAGCTTCAGGAATCCGTGTTTTTTTTCAAGTCACGTTTTATAAAAAAGGAAATTCCAAGGGAGGCTTATAAGAGAATAGAAGTCGGCCACATAAGCGGGGTTGAGTGTAATCGTTTTAATGTAACTATAACTGACTTTGATGATGCGGTTCTAAGCAGAATCCATCTTATTATCAAATATGACAAGTTGACGAAGGATGCGCGTCGTGAGATATGTTCATACTACCTCTCAAAAGCGAATACACACCAAGAACCTGCTACTGTTCGCAACTCACAGCTTCGACGTCTGGAATCGATGGCCCTCAATGGACAAGATGTAGTTGCTCCAGATGATTGGCTGGGTTGATTGCTTACTAAGGTTAGATCAAGAATATAACATCGGTTGCGCACCGCATTGGCTAGCGGCGATGGACACCAGGTGGACTACAGTTATCTTCGCCGTACACGGAAGTCCTTCAGCTTGCTTCTTCTTTCTTCTTTTCTTTTTCATTTGCGCACATTTTAGTCTCATTTCAAATCGACAGTCTTATACTCCATGATCTGTGAATATCTGGGCGAAGCCATGGCGCCAACTCCATTGTGAGACTGTCTTCGCCTTCCCAGCACATTCATTCTCGTGACAATAAAGACTGAGAAGCCGCATAATATTATTACTGTTACTGGTAACTCTCAGGTAGTCGTACTGTGATAACCAACGGCGTGGTAGAAGGATATCATCAAATCGGTACAATTACTTTTCAAGGAGCAATTGACGGCGAGCTGGGGAATCATGCACGAAGTACCGTTTAAAAACAAAAGTGGGGGAGTAACCATCAGAGGAGCCAATGAGTGATTGGTTCCCAACTCCTCTACTCCTTGCTCCACCTTGGAGAAGCTCAAGACTACTCGTAACCCTACTGGCTGTCCCGCCGATTTACAGCCTTGTCGACGAAAGTGGCCGGATATGGTTAGGGGTATCTCTTACTCTTGTTGAGAGTACCACTAGACCGAAATTGGCAACACCTCACTCCGACTCACTGTCGTTGTGGACAACTCCGTGCGACCGGAGCACGGTCAGAGCTTTCTTGCGCTTCTGATTGAAGAAACTGGAATTCTCGTCATTGGTTATATGCTAAAGTCGCGTTCCAGACCATCTCAAGACCATCATCTGGGCCATTAATTCACAGTTCGTGAGGGATCCCCCGAATTGACCTCCACCAGACCCGATGGAGCCTCTCACGAACCGCCTATTCTTCTGTGGGTAAGGGACAAAAAGGTAACGAGAGATAGAATTGTATAAGCTAACGTGAAGTATCAAAAGAAAATCGAGGGGAGACAAATGGACGTCCTTCAACATAAAGCATTAACGTGTTGGATGCGAAAGCTTAGGCGAAGTAATTGGAACTAAAATTGCTCTTGTATCTATTTTTATTACCCTTGTGCGTTAGCACAATATGCGCCGGACGGCTTGAATCAGAAAAAGCGCTCCAAGCCGTTCGTTGGCTATTGGTGATTGCTGTTCAAACCTTATTACTCGGCGTATCGCTTAACAGTGCTTGCTCCGAAATCATCCAGAGTGCTGAACCAGTGAAAGTGCTCTTAGCCATTTGCAGGATCAGTGAGGCCATAAGGGGTAAAGTCTATAAATTGAAGGTGAAGTTTCTCCTACCATTGTCCCAAGTCTCAATACAGAACAAGCTGGTTGATGTACAATCTTGAATCCTATACTAAAATATTTCACTGAGGTAGAGAAACTGAAAATTGAAAAGCTTCGTGACGCGTTGCCCCTGCAACATGCAGCTCTCACTCTGACGGACGAAGAACATAAAGCTTTTTTCATCACTCATGCTGATGATAAGATTGGCTGGGATCGAGTGATTAACAGTTCTATTTCCTGATTCGGATGTTTAAAAGTCATCACAGCTCGGTTTATAAGGCAACTAAGGCACCGTAGGTAGGCCTGACAAAAAAGCACGTTTTGAACGGCGTTGAATTAGGATCGCTTCCGCAAACTTTTATGGCTTGTTCCTATCTGTTAGTTGGAGATGTTAAGTAGTTGGCCGACTGTAACTTCGTAGCATTAGTACTAACTCCGGAACCATGAAGAGATCCACTCTGGAACCATGAAGATATTCGCTTCCGCTCCTGAAGGACCCCCAGGATGGGGCCGTGTTGCTGTATGTTTTCTCCCAAAAGAAGTCTGGGATGTCTCTTACGACATCCGGTTTAGCCAATGATGACCAACTCCCGCTCATCATTCTTTCCTCTTTATGATTAATTTGCCAGGGTTTACGTTGACCATGATGGCAAGCTTAAAGTTGATGAACCACCTTCTATTCAAGAGGAAAACTCCCCCACTGTGTTCACCCTAGAGGTCCGTCGGAACTTCCTTGAGACTCTAGGTAAGCACATAAGCTAATACCCAGAGGCACTGGACAAAACTCATCGGGTGAGACGTCACAAGCGCAATTCTGCTGATACGAATGCTCTTCTTCGGGTTATCCGCCCTGTAAGCTACACACTATCCAGCCTAAATTACAATCTCTTGCCAGAATAGTACGGTCTCTTAATGAATACAGTGCAAGCCAAGGTCAAGACTATCATTGCCTTCTTACAGTTGCTTCACCGTCGTATATGTGTAATCAATTAGAGTCAAAATTGACTTAACTAATTGAGACCAATAAGGAACGCGCCCTATCACAATAAGCAGTGCTAAAACTTAATAAAATGGACCCAATACACGGACCTTTGAAACATTATGGCATATGATTTCTCTGGCAGTTGTGTAAGGACAGTAGGATAGATGGACGACGTCATTTACCCAAAACCCTCGCAAATAAAAGTTGATTTGACCACTAGACTAAAATACGAATCCGTACCCAGCCTAGTGGGTTGTGTTTCAGAATCCAACTATAAAAGCGATACGCAGGCTACCACAACTATATATAACCATATATGTACAGGCAGGTTTTACCACTTCTTAGACGAACTTAGAGCCTCGCCGAGGCTCTAAGTGGCCTAGTTGCCGGCTGTTTTTGCTGCCCTTATGGGGCGCGACTTCGAAACCGTTGGGATGCCTCCGCAAAATCCAAGACGGCGTCCACCGTCTGACACGCGAGGCATTATCAGGCTTACCCTTTCCTCCTTCTTCGGGACCTCCTAGCAAGGTCGACATGCTACTGAACGAGTCGCCTACCTTCGCAAGTCTCTCAAATCTGGACAGTCCAACAATACATGAGTGACGCTCTCTCGCTCGCTGCAAACACAAATTCGTCACAGCGGAAACGGAACACTTTGCCTATGTGGCTAGCCAACAGTGCCCCGTTCGCATTTGTGTCAGCAGCTAGGCTCCACTCCTGGGGAGCACTCCGTAGAGCCGCCTCGTGTATTTGGCCGGTAGTGAGTGATCGATCCGCCGAAGGTGGCTACCTGTTCTATATTCGTTCTATTCCTTCCCCCATTGGGCGTAGATCCTTTACCGGTGTGTAAGGAAAGTAGAATTCGAAAACAATTTAGGGGATTAGTAGAGGGACACCCCCACCTGTAATGGGACACCCCTTTCAGTAATGGGACACCCCCTGCCTGCAAATTCTGGCATCTATTCACCGCTCTTATCACCGCTTTTCTATCAACTTTTGTAGATTCTTAAAGTCCTCTGGCGGTACCTGTATTTACTATATAAACTCCTAGTAAAAATAAGTCACCTAGCAGGTGGAGCGAAAATTTCAATTATAGCTAAGAAGTCCAGTTTGTTTCTTAATTATGGCTCGCACTTTCGAAATCCTCATTCTAAATCTCAAGTCATTTCTCTGCTCATTTTTCATCGCATTTTACGCACTTAATATCATCAATATGGCCTCATTAGGCCTAACATACCTGATGTCGGATTCTGATGTGGAGCTTATCCTAGATTCTCAGCCAATAATTACCTCTGAGCCGGTACCAAGCCCCGAACTGAGCACCCAGCAAAGCCCCGAACCGAGTACCCAGCGAAGCCCCAAGCCAATACCTACACCGAACGCCCCGGGGTACATACAGCTTCCGCTACCTCCGTTAAACCAGCAATTCAATACACCAGAGGAAGGGGCCGAGGTAGTCAATACGTTTGCGCGCCCATATGGCTATGCGGTGACGATTCGGCGTTCTAAATATACTAAGAATGGCGTGAAGAAAACGGTCTACCTTTGCTGTGATCGTGGGCGCGCAGTCAAGTATGAAGAAACGGTCAAAAAGCGCCGTACAACAACCCTTGCACTCGGATGCCCCTTTATGGTTGTGCTTCGGCTAGATCTCCAAACTAACCTTTGGCATCTAACAATTGACGATTCGAAGTCGAAGCATAACCATCAACCATCGCCGGCATCAACCCACACTGCACAACGGAAGCTCGATCTTACCCATAAGAGCGATCAGGTAGAAAATGGGCTTCGGCAAGGACATACAACGCGCCAGATTCTTACTGAGATACGTGAAACGGATCCAGAAAGTGTGCTCATTCCCCAGGATATCTACAACGCACGGAAGAAGCTAAGCCAGCTATTTCTTGCTGGGCGTACGCCGCTTCAAGCACTATTGATAGAGCTTCCTAAGGATGGGGGCTGGATTTTCAAGTATGAACTTGATGATCAATCTCATGTTTCTGCGCTATTTTGTATGCATAAATCTAGCATTGCGATGCTTCGAAAGAACCCCTGGGTTATTTCAATGGACTGCACATATAAGACCAATCGATATGGGCTCCCTTTGCTTGATATTGTAGGCTTTGCGGCTACTGGTTCAACCTTCCACCTTGCATTTGCATTTATGAGAGATGAGAAGGATGATTCATATGAGGTATAATACCCCCAAGACACCTAATCGATTAATTTTCTAACATATTATACTATATACTTTAGGTAATGCTTACCTGCCTAGCCGAAGCATACGAATCCCTCGCTCTCGCCCCTCCCAGTACGATCCTTACCGATAAAGAAGAGGCGCTTATCAAGGCAATTGAGGTCGTTTTTCCCAGCACTAAGCATATGCTCTGCATTTGGCATATCAATATGAATATCCTCAAGAAGGCCCGCCCAATACTCGCTGATCAGGTAGCACAAGCCCGCCGCGAAGCCCAGGCTAATACCTCCCGCAAACTTACCGCCGCCGAGCGCAACGAAGACCGTAAGAAGGCCGAAGCGGGGTGGAAGAAGATGCTACAGCGCTGGAACCGCATTGTGTACGCGATTACACTCGAGGAAAGGGACCAGCAGTGGGCCAATTTCAAAGAGCGATATATAGACCCCCTTTTTGCGCCATTGTTGGATTATATACAGAAGGAATGGCTTGATAACTGTCCCCGGCGGTTTCTTCATTGCTATACCTCGCGATACCTTCATCTTCATGAGATTGCTACTTCTCGTACAGAGGGTGCGCATTGGCTGCTCAAACAGGATCTCCAGGTCTCTACCAATGATTTACTGGTAGTGCTCCGCAGTTTTACCCGGTCTGTAGCGCTCCAATTCGATAAGATACAGCATAGCATCGAGGCCCAGAAAATCCGTCGGCCAACTGGCAATATTCCTAAGCTTTATCGGCTGCTTTATACTCGGATCTCTATACGAGCAATTCAGCTTACAAAGGAGCTCCACGCACGGTATCAAGGGGATGATACGCGGCCAATTCCTCCACGTTGTACCTGCAATTCGAAGGAAACAGCTGGATTTCCCTGCATCCATATACTACAGCAGTACGAAGAGGAAGATAGATGCCTCGAACCAGAGCTGTTCCATCAGCATTGGCATTTATATAGCGTCGATGCTCCTCCTATCGATCCATTGCTTCTTATACAAGACCCCCTCCGTACATGCCGACGAGGGCGCCCCCGAGGCGCTAAGAATTTGCCTAGCACGCAGCCTAGCACGCAGAACCCCCGCTCGTCTCCTAATCCGTTGACTCAGCCCCCTTTATCAGCTCACGAGCGTTCTGTGCACCGAGATCCTTCTTCGTGGGAGGAGCCTCGGGGGAGAGGGCGAGGGCGAGGGCGAGGGCGAGGGAGGGGCCCGGGCCGGGGGCAGGGCGCTGTTCGGGGCGCTACTCGTATTGTAGATGGAGATGGAGATGGAGATGATGATGAAAGTGCGACGATACGGAGCTCAAGGCGGCGAGGCGCAGGCAGAAGCAGAGATGCAGACTTCGAGTATTACTAGTAGTGAGAAATGTATGCTGTTATGCAAATCATTCTGTAAAATAAATCCCTTTTTTCTTACTAAAATTATGCTTCTTTTACTATGTAAACCAGAATTCAAAGCTGCAGAATTAGTATGAAGTGACAGAATATTCGGCAGAAAAGATAGATGCCAGAATTTGCAGGCAGAGGGTGTCCCATTACTGAAAGGGGTGTCCCATTACAGGTGGGGGGTGTCCCTCTACTAATCCCCACAATTTAACCCTCGAGGGCACACACTTTGTTTCTCGGCTCCTACTCGAAACGGGCTTAGTCCCTTCTGGGACAAGCGGTATTTTGTCACCTCCCCCCATAGACAAGATTCTTTTACAAGTTGGCCAAGTTATGCTAAGCCCCGTTTCTATTACGGGCTGAGAAACAAAGCGTGAGTGCCCCAAGGGTGAACTGTTTTCGAATTCTCCTGTATAGATATAGACCCTCCCAACAGTGGTCTATTAGTTGAATCAATCAATCGCCTCATGGTTGGTTTCCCTCAGTACTAGCGCAAATGAACGGCCTGCGATACGACATCGGAGCTTCACCACTATTATGACTCATTTCTTTTGCACTTCCGCTCGAATACCATCTGTATCAAATTTTAGGAGCTTGTAGAGATCGTCCGCTTTCTTGAGAATCGAGTCTTCTTCCTGAGGATCTTTCGACTTGTCAATATTCAAGGTTCATGAAAAGATGGACATTAAGTCTCGCTGACCTTTCTTTCTGAAGTTGATAAAGCGCTGTATCTCAGCCAGCCTTACTTCTCGCGCTTTGAGTTTATCCTCCCATTCCGAAGGCTTTGGGAAGACTTCCCTGAAACCCCCTGAACGGTTAAGACAGTTCAGCTCCTTCTCGCTGACCTTCCCCAAGTAATCGCCAAGGTAACCCATATAAAAATCATCAGTTCCATAACCGCTGGCTCGCGAGAACGAGCCAGCCTGGGATCCCGCTATGACTTTTGTCCAGTCCGGGGAGGGGGAGTTAGGGTTGTCTCCATTGGTCTTGACAAAAATGGGTCCCATTTTTGGTTCCTGTAAGTCATCTTGCCCCTTAATAGAGCAGCCTATGACAATGTTGGCCATCACAGTGCTCGTCAAAGCATCAGAATCAAGGAGGAAAAAGCTTCTCTTAGCCTGTATCATTTCCTGATACTGGTGGAGGATTGCCTGGCATTTTTCTCATGACCGATTGACTGCTCGAGTTTCCCCAAATCCCTTGTCTGAGTAAACCAGTCCCATTCGGCTCCTGGGGGCCCACGGACTGGCAACTGCTCTTTGTGAGGGGCGAAAAAGAGATCTCTACCCATGGCAGACCTGGGTATGTTAATATCATCCTAAAATTTATAGCCAGTGGCAAAACGTACATTTATTTTGCCCGGAGCGAGGGGCAGAGTTTTCCAATGAAGAAATAAAATATGAAGGACGACCAGCTTCTACAGATCTTTGCCCAGGGCAGATATATGAAGAGACAAAATATGAAACATAGGAATACGCCCTTTTCAAATTGTCATTTTTGATTTTTTATTATCTAACCGAGTGGGAAATGTCCCAATTCCCAGCATACGGAAAGGTCGCTGGGCTTCTGATATCACAGGACATGAAATTAAAGTACCTTCATGAAAAAAGCAAATTTGGTTGATGACAAAACATCTATTCCGTAGATCTTTCTAGTGCATTGATACACGAAGCCTCCTTTCAAAGAAAGAGTTTTCTTGGCCCGCAGATATGATTAGTGCGTAAAGTCTACTTGGGAATAAAAACAACCCCAGGAGGCAGCGTCATCGTGCGCCGCCTCTCGGAATCTTAGATGAGCCCGCGGGTTCCATATCGGCGAATCAACAACTTTGTGACCAATCAGATATTAATCTTAATATAGTAACCCCTGAATATTTAGCTTTCAGCTCGCCCGGAAGGTTTGGAGGCGCCTCGCCGAGACATGTTTGCAAAGGAAATCTGTCTACTCGGCCGTACTTTCAAGCGTAGAGGATCATTGCCCCCAGAGGCTAGGTACGCGGAGGTGGATTACTTGGGCCCGTTTGCCCAATCACCGACGATGGCGAATCCAATGTCGGTCGACGAAGTTTTCACAGCATAGGTCTCATGATCAACTATCCCTGACCCAAACTCAGCTCCAATCCCCGGCCCTAGGGTATCCAAGGGCAAAAATAGGAATAGGGCTCCACCTAACCCAAATTAGGCCATCTCCTCTCTAACGTGACCCATTAAACCAAGCCATGGTCCCTGTCTTGTCATCCGTGAGCTGTGTGCTACAGCCTACAGGACGCCAAGCACATCCACAGATTGGCAAATAATGATGTATAACAAACTACCGCTTATAGAATGCTACAGGTATAGTATCCCAACCCTCAAAACCAGTTTTCCTTCAAGTGTTTTCGAATTGCATCCAGATGTGCATTACTCTTTGCATAGGCATTGCAATCCACGGAGTAGATACTATTAGGCGCAGCTAACGAACTACTGCCCCACGAAATTCAACCGTGTGAGTGATCGAGTGCCAGAAGGAGGCTGAGGTCGCTTCTTGCGGAGATATTCCGACGATTCTTTTGTTGATGGCCGACCATAGGTGGTCAAAATTGTGAAATGTATACGGAGTATGTCAAAAACACATCTGCCCCACAATACAATATTTCCCGGTGGTCACACTATATTGTAATTATATCCACTAAACCAATTATTCCTAGATAGACAAACCACAGAAACGACACTTCAGGAAAATCGTTTCAGCTACTGCCGTATGAAGAAAGTGAATTTGATTACCTAGAGAACTCAATTTTGGGACTTTTTCATTGTACGTAAATGCCTGCGCAATAAAATGTTGGATTACTCAAACGAATATAATTGGAGCCGATAGGCATGTGGGCTTATTATGTATTGAACAGAATTAGACGATATAACCAGGTCCTTTATAATCAATAAAATGAGTAGTAGAATGATCGGCTTAGGAATACCGTTGGACACTTCAACTGTCAAGCGTTATTTAACCGTTTCAAATTACCTGCCCTCTATTCCTCTTCCGAATACCCAACATGTCTCCTTTCCGTCGTTCTGGACCTTTCCTGAACCTGAGCGTGTGCGAGCATTCGCTGATAGGGATGAAGTTGTAGCAGAATTTGAGGTTGCGTACCAATTTCCGAATACAACTTGGAATTAAATTGCTGCTCGAGGGTATGTCTTGGGCCTGGCAGGCACTTTGTTGTGGGTATTGGGTCTGGACTAACCAGCCATAACCGTAGCCCGTAAAATGCCAGTGGCCGGTTCAAGGCAATCATCTCTGCACGTCTAGTTCCGGTCAACCTGGAGCTATGGTAGAGGTATTCTAGGCGCCAAAACTTGGCTCTGAATGTATACAAGGTGAAAATGGAGTTATGTCGCTTATGATGCACAGCTAGTGGGCAAGTTAGAAGCGCCGGATGAACTTGGCTTTTCGCACAGACTTTGGCAGCTGGGATCGTCGGGTGCACTGGAAGCCGGTGACCTTCACAGGATTGTAAACATGCCATCGCTTGACCGGCTCGTACGTCGACTTTGTCTTGTCGTCTTGTCGCCATGTAATTAGGGCCTACTGTACTCATCGCTTCATCTGTCATTTTTACTTGGTAGGCCCCTCCCTTCACTAGTAGCAGGCTAACAGTACAGGTCCATTTTGGCTGATACACGCCAGCCTCATCCGTCTGTCTCCATTAACCCTAGCTAGCGCCCTTTCACCTCGATCGTTTCCTCTATATCTTCAAACAAGTCATCCGCTTATATTCTCCTCAACCGCCGGGTCATCAGAGAAAATATCGTTGCAAATTTCTAAGAATGTTACATTTGTTCTATCCTTCCTGCCCGGGCTAAGGCACAATTTGTGTACCGATACATGCATTTTCATTATCGCAGAGAATCCAGTTTACCTCTAAGCATGAGAGCCAGGCACATATCCATTCCAAATTCCAACAAAGATTCAAGCGGATCCACAATCTAGTCCCAGTTCCAGTTTGGAAAGTCAATCAGCTCGTCGAGTATGAAACTGAGCAAGGCTTCTTTGATATCTTGATAATTGGCCCTATTTGAGTATATTTCATGAATTAGGTATGCGATGGACTGCCGGTTGACCTCGTTCCTGAGCGAGACGAAGATAAGTTCCATGGCATCCATTTTGAGTACGTTGATCTCCAAGTCAACAGCCTCGGTGAACATTCGCGCATGGAAGTAGGGTAAGCTGTCGGTAAAATCTTAAACGGAATCGCCAGATCTGCCGGTGTATTTGCCCTTGTACAAGAACTCTAATACATTCCTCACCAAAACAGGCTCGTGCGCATCGAGGCAAACCTCCCCAGAACCTTCCTAGAAACCAAAAAACTCCGTTAGATGAATTCGAAGAGATTTGCCCCGGATTGGGTAGCCCAGTGGTCATTGCGTTGGGTCACACCTCGAAACCGCCCCTGCAGGCTCGGACAAAATACCCCTGACGGGGGACATATAATAGCTTTATGGGCTGGAAAAGCGTATTCACCGCATATGGGGGTCAGATCGCTGTACTTGGAATTGAGGAAATATCTATTTTGCGGCAGCAAACAGGTTAGTGAATGGACGTTCTAGTTCATAAGGGGCTCGGGGCTCTGACCCCTCAACTGCCTGCATAATGGCTTTCTGATTTCCTAAAACACCGAAATCAATCGTTGAATAATCTATTGTAGATGCGGCTTGCCTCAGGGAAGGATACTGGGAGTTGGATGATGCTAAATTACCCCTCTGAAGGACCGCCGAAGGAGGGCTCTCCTGGCAATGCTTATCCAGCAAACCTGCCAATAGATGATCTCGGAAGCTGGTCACTGCTTCAAGAAGTTCATTTTCAATTATAGCATAGGAATGCATCTTGAATCTCTTCAAATTGGCCATGATGATGTTCAATGTTGGACCTCTTAGCTCCCGATATTCCATCCTCTTTAATGAAGGCGATAAACTGAACTTGAGCGAAGAGAACTCCCAAAGAAGATCACTAAATGGTCTTTTGTATATATAATTCACCGCTTTGACATCCCATTAGACCTGACGGCTGTGCCAGTGATTGAAAGTTTCTTGGGACAGCAAGGCGAGCTAGACCAACTCTGGCAGTATTTACGGCCCACGGATTCCCAGTCACGAAAGGTTGCAATTCTCCATGGGCTTGGGGGGATCGGAAAGACACAACTAGCGATTTGTCTCGCACGAGACCACAAACATGATTTTACTGCCATCTTCTGGCTGAGTGGAAAGGACCGAGGCACGCTATTGCAATCTTTGAGCTCTATCTCGCCCCGATTGCCAAAACAGTCACTTGCGAACGAGGTAATGAATGACGAGGTGGAGCAACGAGCTAGAGATGTGTCAAAGTGTGTTAAAGTGGCTAGCAATAGAGGGAAACTCACGCTGGCTGCTCATTTTCGACAACATCGACCAATACTTCTCCTTCAATGGCCCCATTGGTGATGCATATGATATTGCTGAATTATTCCCTAGAGCCGGCCATGGCTCTATTCTCATTGCCTCTCGGCTGCAAAGGTTGACGGAGCTGGGAAATTTAATTTCTATCCATAGACAAAACTTGAAGGATGCGATCCAACTACTCTTACAATGCATCCATCTATCAGTGAAGAATACAGTTAAAGAGCCTGAGAGCAACGCAGGTGTTAAGGGACTCAGTACTCGAATCTTATTTATGATACTGATATATGTAGATACCGTTGCTCTTGCGAGCCGTCTAGATGGACTTCCATTGGCAATCGTCATCGCCGGGGCGTTTATGCGTGAAACTGGAACCAGCATCACTGAGTACTTGCAGTATTACCAGGCATCTTGGTCCGACCTACAGCTGCAATTGAATCCTGAACGCCAGTATCAGCAAGGCAATATGCTTCAAACATTGATGATCTCATATCGTGAGATTCAGAAGCGGGACGCGCACGCAGCGGAACTGCTACTGTTCCTTGCTCGTTTCGATAATCGAGATATCTGGTTTGAACTAATAAAAAGCAGCTATCATAGCTCAAACCTCCCCATTTGGCTCGAAAGTACTACATCAAGCGGACTCGCGTTCAAAATCAGTATCAAGACTCTCATCGGGTTCTCTCTACTTGAGATTAAGGAACAAGAGGGAGACTATGCTATGCACCCAGTGGTACAAGGCTGGTGCATTCACCTTGCTAGCAAAGACAAAAGTGTGAATTCCATCCAGCTCAATGAACTGGCACTTGTATCTGTTGGGTACACTGTCCCTAGTGCAAGTGTCAGAAATTATTCCGAGCTTCAGCAACGGCTTATTCCACACGCGAATTATGCACGTCATGGGAATTGGTCAGGCCATAATATTGCGGATTGGGGAGCATTCCATGGTTTAGGAGACCTCTACAAATATTAGGGGAAGGTGAAGGAAGCAGAGGGGATGTGCCAGCGAGCACTGGCAGGCTACGAGAAGGCCCTCAGTCCATATCACAGCAGGGTGCAGCGGCTTAGAGAGAGGTTAAATGGGCTAAGTATTGCAGATTTAAAATAGTCCATTACCCTCCCTGTGGAATATTATTACTTTACCCTGACATATTCTTCGCAGTGGGTTCAGTACAAGATTTCTCTAAGTTTGAGGCAAACACCCAGTACCCTACTGACCATATAGATTTCGCAAAATGACCTACAATCCAATTTAAAATAATGGCTTAGGAGAGGTTGGGGGAGATCTGACCTTGCTGAATAACGGTCGCAATTGTTTATGAGAATAAGATCCATATCGTGCAGGCTGAGAAGGAGAAATAGAAGTCACTTCATTGATCATCTTTTCGGCATTGTGGAAGATGGCCTGAGCCGAAGCCCGTTCTAGTTATGGACAATGCACCTTTCTATCGCTTTGATCGTATCGAGCAGATGTGCACTGAAGCAGGAGTAAAACTAGTGTATTTGCCACCTTACTCACCTGACTTGAATCCTATCGAGGAGTTCTTCTCGGAATTGAAAGCATTAATTAGACGAGCTAGATGCGGTATGAAAAAGACCCCGAACAAGGGTTTTAAACTTTCCTCGAGTGGTGTATTAGGGTTTCATCTCGAGAACAGAGTGCTTTAGGTCATTGGGACTCACGACTAGTTATTAGGGTTTTTGAGGCATTATGGCGTTGGGCATTGCGGTGACACAATATATACTTCAACAGCTATCAGAATTGCGCGATTCTCTGCTAGCTTTATTTTTTTGTTGAGAATCCAGGTTAATTCTCAGTAATTGACATGGAGCTTTCAATGCTAACCCTAATTCGATATGCTTTGTCACCATGCAATTCTCGCATACCAAGGATTTCGAACTCTTGCAGAATCGAGATTAGCGCCGTCGATGGAGTTTGCCATCTACAACACCAGTTCCTGCATACAACCGCCATGTTGTTGTAGCACAGGATATGATTCCAATTCAGGCTGCATTCTATCAATGGAACACGGGAGAATCCAGCACTCAGCACTGTCACCGCTCATTCAGCCCTTTCTTCTTGATTCTACCACTCTGTTTCTATTACAAATTCATCAATTGAGGGATTTCAGGGGAGGAAGAAGAAGCCTATAAATATAAACTTCTTTCCGTGTATGAAGATATTAGACAGCTTATAATTATATTTCTGGCACTTTACCTATAGTTTCAATTTATTTTTCGCAAGAGATAGTTACTCCTTATTTTACATGCTGTATAGTTCCTCTGTGTACTATTTCAACTTTTTTTGTACTCCCATTTGTGGCCTAATCATTTACTGAAAGAGATGCATCAAACATCAAACAGAAGTGATTAAAGAGTCAATCTAATGCCTACAACACTTTCCGGAACTGCTGTCACCACCTTACATTCGATTTTTTCTCGAACCTTAATGCAAAGATCGGCTAGCCCTTTTTGACATAGCTTCGGGATATGGATATGACGATTTGGTGAATACACAGAAGCCGCTGTAAGCAACATGACTCGTCTACCATATTTATGCCCTATGCCAACTCCTTCATCTTCCTTTCATCTTCATCCAGCTATCATCCGACATTAGACATCCTGATCACCCTGTTTGCTCTCACGAAGGAGAAAACTCGTTCCATCTCGATCGCTTTGCAAGCCTCGGATCTGTAAAATGAATGACCTCACGTTATCCGGGTTTTTAGAGCGGAGTTTAACCACGGTGTAGTGCAGTGCTTGGAATATTGATGACTCGATGTTATGAGATTTGCGCCTGCGATCACTGCCATAGAGGCATTGACAGCCTTTCGCGGTACAGTTCACACATGGAGTTGTACCAGAACACTAGATCCTGTCAGCACTAGGATATGAACGATTCATTACATTCTAACCTTGATTCGCTTTTGGCGACACTCTGTGCAAGCAAGAGAGACATTCCGTCGCTTTTCAACTAATGGACGCGGTATCTGTGATTGGGAGGATGAACCTTTCTCCATTGGCCGCAGCGGCCGCAAGGAGCTTTTTTCTGTCATATCTGGTGATCGGGACTCATAAAGTCGGAAAATATTGTTCATTGTAGATGTCCATAGTAAAGAGTGGGTGATGCGACGGAATTAAATAGTCAATTCGCAGTGCCGGTTCTCTTTGTTTGCTAGATGCAAAACAACCTTGGTGGCATCTTTGAAATAGGACCATTTATGAGACCAGACCTATGCATATTCCCGATCCTGACCCCAACGCTGGAAGTCTCAGAGGCAAACAAAGAACACTTGATTTAGAGGCATACTATTGGATGCTTCCAACCATCTTGGCAGGGGCGCGTACTTTAATTGGACAAAGTGGCCACCCATGCACTAATCATCTCAGCCTGTTTGATGGATATTGTGACGCTAGTTAGTGGCCAATGATTGAGAAATCTCGGGAAAGCACGCTTGCTGCAGCCAGCAGCCCACGCCATCTGTGATACAGATAGCGCTTCGCTGCCGATAATGTTTCGAAGTGGCTAGCCACCATTCAGGTGCGACCACTCGTGCTTAATTAAAGATCTGCGCGTATTTAGGGTAGTGTTCAGGTTTAGCCTGGTTGCTCTGTGTCCTGCCACATCTCCAAACGAGCAGGCATCCGTCTGTTTTGACTAGTTTGCTAAATCAACATTCTAGAACCCCTGGAGACCTTACAAGCCTAATAAAGGAGATGTTTTTACTGTTATTTACGACTGGACTGGAATACTGCCAAGAAGGGAGTTCAGGGGCAGAGTAACCGTAGTAGGTATAGCGTGTTTCGAAAGAGGGTTCAAGAAAGGACCTCTGTGAGCAAATGGTGAAACTGATTTCGATCCATCATGTAACGTAACACAAGGCGAAAGCGGTCGCTACTGTAAGCAGGAACAAGTGAACCTGTAAGTGAAGGGGAACGAACCAACCAGGGGCGATTCGATCCTGAATCTGCGTTGCGATTAAGGTTATTGTGATATAAGTTTGTGGTGTTGTGAACCGAGCGGAAGCTTATCCCTAACCGATGGCGGACCCACCCGCGGGAGGGCCCGAGACCCCTCCCACAAACACCTAAGAAACCACCGCCAGCTTCACTGAGGAAGATCCCGAAGCCAGGATCACCACCGAGAACCGGAAGCGAACCCGGAGTGGAGATGCCTTCGCCCCGTCGGATCCAACGGTCGAATCACCACCAAGGAGGTGTGGAAACTGATCAGCTCGCTGAAAGACATCATCCGCCACCAAACAGCGACCATCACAACCACCCAAAATGAACTCCAGGTCAAGCACAACCAGAATGTCCTCCAGGAACAAAACGAGAAATTGCACGATGAGGTGAAAGCACTGCGAACACAAATCGAGGCCACCCCGCCGGTGACAGCGACCAGGACCTGGGCCGCCGTCGCAGCTGAGGGCGGCAATGGCACCTCCCCGCTCAACCGCCAACGACCCGAGAAAGACCAGGATTGCGTCCGAATGAGCACCCAGAGGACCTTTGTCGACCCAAGAGACAACAATAACAATGACGGAAACACTTTCGGACGATATCTTCCCATCGATGCGGCCAACAACCACATTCGCACTGCATTGCAGAGCGACGCAAGACGCAAGACGCCCAAGTGGCCGGCATCGGCACCACCAAAACCGGCTACATCATTCGATTCAAAAACGCGGAGTCAGCTGAGATGGCCCGCAACAACGCCGAGTGGCTACATAAGTTGGGCAATAACACAAAGCTGGTAAAACCGCGATTTGGAGTCGTCGTACACCGGACTCCGACAGAGGAATTCGATCTAGAGACGGGACACATCCAGGCAGCAGAGAAAATCATCGACGACAACGGCCTAGCGGAGCACGGCTTCTAGATCGACGAGCTGGCCTGGATGAAAGCGAAGGACAAGCCGATGGGGAAATTCGCCTCACTGGGAATATGGTTCGACTCCCCAGAGGGAGCGGAGCATATGCTTCGGAAGCGGCTCCTTATCAACGGGCCACTCATCACTACGGTTGTACAATGCGAAATCAAGAAGAAGAGGTGCTTCCGATGCCAACGGTTCGGCCATCTAGCATGGTCATGCAAGGAAACGCCGCGGCGCTGGCCAGCATGAACGGGAGAGATGTCCACCAGGGGTGAGAGCCCGGTGTCTCGATTGTAGCGGTGAACGCCCTACGGGCGATCGACAGTGTCCAACACCATCGACCTTCAACCCTACCAGATGCTAGAGAAGAATCTCCGCATCCTAGAGTTGAACATGATGAAATCGGGACCGAGAATGGAAGCACTGATCAACGATCCCCAGAGCTTAGAGCTGGACGTTCTGCTGATCCAGGAGCCATCCATTACCACCTATCGCACGCACATCAACCACAGCGCCTGGCGACTATACCGACCTACGACGCAGACTGACGCCGCTCGGTTTCGCAGCCTGATCTACGTCAACAGAAGAGTCTCTAACTCCTCACACCGTCAAATACCTTGCGACCACCCAGATATCGCAGCCATCAAGATCTGGACGCCCGACTCTCAAACCCTTGTCTTTTCTGTCTACATACCCCCAGTACCGCTTTTCACGGGCGATGACGCGTCAGCATTGCCAGCCCTCACTGCGATACAAAAATCCATCACAACCGCTACACAAAACGAGCAGCGCGCGACTAGCTTCATTGTTTCTGGTGACTTCAACCGACATCATCCGATGTGGGGCAACAACCACATCCCACCTAGATTTATCGAAGACGCCAGCGACCTGATCGACTTTTTCCAAACCCACAACCTCCACAGCTGTCTCCCTCGAGGAACGGCGACTTATTGGGCCTTGAATAATCCAGGACAAAGCTCGACCATCGATCAGACAGTGACAGACAACCCGGAACTACTTGTCAAATGTCATCTGTACAATGAAAACTACGGGTCAGACCACCGCGCTACGTATTCGGAATGGAACCTTCAACCCCAGAATAAGCCAAGCAACAAAGCGAGAAAAGCGTATGAGCGCGCGGACTGGGCCAGAATCGGCGAGGAGGTAGCCCGACAGACAGGCCCCTGGAAGGACATTAAGACCCGGCCAGGACTCGACCGAGTTGTGGAGAAGCTCGTATCAGCGACAGCCCAGGCCGTGGACCAGCTCACGCCCGACACTCGCCCAACGCCATACTCCAAACGGTGGTTTACACCAGACCTGAAGGTCCAGCAAGTCGAAGTGAATCAACTGCGCAGAAGATGGCAGGCAAGCTGTGCGGAGCTTGGACGAGACCACGTCAACACCATTACAGCCTTTCAACTTATGCAAAAAAAGCGCCGAGCGTGGACGCGGACTATAGAGAAGGCCAGAGCTTCGCATTGGAGACAGTTCCTGGATGAGGCCGGCGAAGGAAAGCTCTGGAAAGCTGCCACCTAGATGAAACCTCGAGAAATATGGGGGTGTATCCCAGCCCTGAAGGTTGGCTCGGAGGAGGTCACCCAGAACGAAGACAAGGCAAAGGCTTTTCTTGACGCGTTCTTCCCAGTAATAAACACGCCCGACCCTAGTACACCAACCTCTCCACAGCCGGAGCTCCCGTGGTACCCGATCACCGAACTCGAGATTCAACGATCACTGAAGACAGCGAAAGGAACTACTGCACCGGGAGAGGATAGTCTGCCGATGCTGGTCTGGAAGAAGCTATGGGGACATTTGAAAACCTGGATCACCGGCATCTTCACAGCAAACGTAGATTTAGGATACCATCCGAAACAGTGGCGTAGTGCGAAGATTATTATGTTACGGAAACCAGGCAAACTACTCGCTACCCGGCGCCTACCGTCCAATCTCACTGCTGAATACACTCGGCAAGCTTCTTGAAGCAGTGATAGCGCGAAGATTGTCCTACCTCGCAGAGAAAATAGCCTGGTACCAAACAGCCAGTTCGGCGGACGCCCGGGCAGAACCACTAAACAAGCCCTGCTGGCGCTGTCTAGTGCGATTGACAAAGCCTGTAACAAACACAAGGTGGTGACTTTAATCGCATTCGACCTCAAGGGCACCTTCAATGGGGTGAACCGGGTGAGCCTGGATGCCTCGTTACAGACGAGAGGTATTCCAATGGTGGCAAGGAAATGGATCGCGAGCTTTATGAGCGGTCGGCACGCCAACACTGGATTTGACGACTTCCGCACCGAGACCGAGCTGCTGGTGAATGCAGGTCTAGCGCAAGGATCGCCACTCTCCCCCATCTTGTTTGCATTCTTTAACGCCGATCTGGTCGACCAGCCCGTCGACTCCCACGGATGCGCGTCAGCATTCATTGAAGACTACTTCCAATGGAGAGTAGGTCGCTCGACCGAGGAAAACTTAGTCAAAATACAGCCGAGAATGTTCCTACATAGAGGAGTGGGCGCGACGAGCAGGATCGTGCTTTGCGGCGGAGAAAACCGAGCTCATTCGCCTCACCAGAAAGAGGGGAGAGCGCTTAGAAGGGAAGATCACCTTCGATGTAGCCGACGTCAAGCCCTCGCCTTCAGTCAAGCTGCTGGGGGGGGTGTACGACCAGGAACTTCGGTGGAAGGAACACGTTCAGCAGGCCATCAAACGTGCCACCAAGACGACTGTCGCTTTAAGTGGTCTGCTAGAAGTGGAAACCTACCTGCCCCCTACGCATCTCCGTCTTCGCCACCGAGCGCAACGCACTATAGCGAGACTACACACTCTACCCCGTGCCCATCCCATTTGGAGCGTGTTATCGCGCACCCAGAATTGTAGAAACAATGTGGGATCGTACGCGCGCTTTCCTCTTGCAGAAGCACTGAAGACCATGGATGTCGACAGGCTGAATGAGCTAGAACGATCGACCCAATTCCATTACCACCGTGGCGAGCAGACGCATTCTCGGAAATTGAGCTTGGAAGCGACCGAGAAATAGCGAGAGAAAGGGCAGATTCGGTAAGAAATACGTCCGATATTGTTGTCTACTCGGACGCTTCCGGACGTGAAGACCATATTGGAACTGCCATCGTCGCAATCAACGACCAGGAAGAGGTGGTGGAATCTCAACAGGTGCAGGTGGGTCCGACGGAACGCTGGTCGGTCCACGTAGCAGAGCTCATTGGCATCTTCTACGCGGTCGAGATGGTGTTCAAGCTAGCCCACCGGCGCACAAATGCCGGAGATGTAGTACGGTCAACGGCACAATCGTATGTGACAGCAGATCGGCCTTGCAAGCAATCCAGAACCCAAGTACCAAATTGGGACAGCGAATCGTCCATGCAATCATACAGGCAGCCTCCGAGGTTCAGGCAGAGAATATCATACTCCGCTTCCAGTGCATCCCAGGACATTGTGGGAATGTCGGGAATGATGCAGCAGATCGACTTGCTAAGGGAGACCAGACTGTATTGGTTGGGAGAACTTAGCGAGCATCTTGAGTGCGTCTGCTAAAGAAGCAGTTGACAATCTCTTGGAGCTTCGTAATAACGCAGAATATTGGCGCATGCGGTTTACAGACATGGAAAGAAACACTTCGAATTTCCTACGTTCTGTTTTTGGGCGGATCGATATTTTTCACACTATCCATGAAAAACTCCGTGATTGCCACAACGATCACCATACGAGCTTCTCTAGTCATTTATCCGCAATTCAGATTCCCTGCGATGATGTCCGAATCACAGGCGCGATATCTATGCATTCCGCACTTCGCTCTATTCTCAATGAGATGCTTTCTTCCTTGCAGAACAATGCGTGGCTATGCAAAGAGACGACAAATAGTACACTACGCTATCTTTTCGGCCTGATAAAGGAGAATGACCCTACAATACGGTTGATGGGTTTCGATGCGGTTTTGAGAACTATTGAGCGGGAGCTTTCGGGTGCTAATCGTGAGGAAGCGCCGCCATTCCCAATTGCCCAAGTCTTTCACGACATGTCAGTTGTCGCTGCTTGCATGCAGGAGACTTCCAAACACTACAATCTCATCCTCAACCTCGACGACAGACATTGCGCCCTGGCCAGCGATGCCACATCGGAGTGGCAAGAACGTGAACGACCGTGGGTAGACGATATCGAAAACTTTCTGGCAAGAATCGGACGCACGGGGAATGAGTTCAACAAAGAGGCTCGAGATGAGAATACCCCCTTAGAACATCGCCACTGCACGTTCTGGAATCGCATTGATGACTGCATGAGAAAATGGAACAACTCCAGTCTTATTGTCTCCATTCTCGACCAGGCCCCGGTCCCAAGAGCATCCGCATCCACAATTTTGGAGTCGGGATGTGGTTCGCAAGATACGAACTCTATGAACTCCACGCCGACTGAAACAAGATGAGAATGTCGCGACGGCGGCGGCGGCACACCCCACTGAAATATCCAGAATCCTTGCGGGTCCCCGTCTCATCCATCACAGAAGAGCCGCGTAGCCGGCCGACTGTACATATCACAGCAGAGAAGGATATAGTGTTTTGGGATGACTTACGGAACGAGAAAGGACAGGAGTCCTTCGAGGCGTGGAGACAATTTCTAAGGAATATCGGTTTCGTGTGCATAAACCAGGGAGGAGCAGGGCGTCGATTTGAACTCAAGAGGGCCCAGGGGGGTTCTCATGCAATTGTTTATCATGATTTACACGGATCGAATGGAAACAAGCTCCCACATGGGTTGGCGCGTCGAATGTGGGCCCGTAGGCTTGAAGACCAATTCAACGTCTCCTACCAAGAGAAGGAACGGCACTGCTGTGAGAAGACAAATTAGGGGACGAAGAGTGACTTTGATGCAGCGCTCTAGTTCGAGATTGACCGAACAGTGCAAGGTTCATACCTAATCTGGAAACTCGGGGGCACCGTCGGAGGGTCTTTGAATCTGCAACTGTGTGTACTGAGAGTACATGAGACGGCTACCATGGGGAGGGTCTGGGGCTTTTTACGTGAAGATTCATGCTAGATTTTGAATTTCAATATATAACGCCGCTGGAATTGGCTCTTTACCACTTTTTGGCTGCACTGACTGCTGTTGAGGAAACTGTAAACCCTATATAGTGATTGGAGTCGAAGTGAGTAATTGCAGTGACTGATTAGAATGGCTAAACTCTTTCCCTCCCACACATCCGGGGTCCTTTACAAGGCTTAGTCGGCTGCACCACAAGTATCGGACACACGACGTCTCCTTTGAGAACACTCTGGAGGGTCCTAAAATACACAATCGGGCAGCACAAAGAAAGGATCTCGAGCGATTACTTAAGGAGCTTAACCGTCATATTCAGTAACGGCAGGATTCATTCTACTATCAATACCATTCATACATGGACTCTTCATACATGGACTCTTCATACATGGACTCTCGTCACACATGGTCCACTTCATGTCTGAGCAAGAGAAAAAGGGACACGTCCCTCCCAAATTCCAATATTCAAGAGATCTACAACCCAGCCTCAATTTCAGTTCAGGATACCAATCAGCTCGTCGCATATAAACTGAGCAAGGCTTCCCTGACATCACGAGAGAGACCCTATTCGAGTATATTTCGTGAATCAGGTAGGTGAGAAAACGTCAGTTGACTACGTTTCAGAGCGAGACGGAATCATTTGCACTAGTGTTTGCCTTTGTAGAATAACTTTAATGCAAGAACCGGCTCTTGCGCATCAAGTCGAACCACTCTCATGGTTTGCTATGATTGAAATTGATCAGTTAAAACAAAACTTGGGGAGAGTTTCTCCAAAGAGATAGCGCTGATGATACCACAAAGCCCTTTTGCTTAATCATTTCACTTCTTGCATGCTGAGCTACTCTCTATCTCTAGACTTAGCTATAGAAAATTCCTGATGAAACTAAAGATCGAACACAGGGTCGCATATGTATCTCGGGAGATCTTGCCTACATCGTCCCAAAAGAGCATCTTACGCGGACGCAACCTTGTTACGAGCTTGATCTGGATTTGTTATCGCAAACACTACAGCGACAGGACATCAAAAGCAATCCACAAACAAGGTCGCTGGTAGGACGGCTTCCTGCTCCTCACCAATTTGCTATTATTCGTATTTATTCATATGGACGATTTGTCAAGCATGCGCATAATGGAAATACGCAAGCCTGGATTGTGGAAAACACTAACCTACTTCGCTCATCTAGACTACCAGGATATCAGACGAAAATAGCAATAGAGGCATAGACTTCTATGCCTCTTAAGATACTCGGCACCCTGCCCAACTGCACGGCAGCAGACCGTGTTAGAACGCCCGGCGCTATGAACTAATGGCGTATATCAAAATCGGAGATTTGAACCTCTTCCTAACCCTATCAGCTGCCGATTTCTAGCAGAATCCATATACCATATATCCCAATAGTGTGATATCAGGATTTCTTCCAGAGGAAGGGGTTGAAACCGTCATTTGAAGTGAGCGACTTCTGGTGCCGCTACGAGTGGTAGGGTCACGATCGGTCCACAAACATGCCCTATATCGGATAGTCGGTTCCTGGGACCCGGGCTTCTCTACCAGTATCATTCCGCACGTTGATGGTGCCCACCGGGTATGGTGATGAGTATGAGGCAGGTAAGATGCTACCAGTCAAAACTGGGGCAGCAACCGATGGTTCCCTCGATACGTACAAGTCGCATGGAGTGTAATACATTTCAAAAAAGGGAGAATCGAGATGTGTTAGAGAATTAGCTGGGTATTAAAGTGCCCGCGTGGCTGGAGGAACGGAGCTGCCTCAACTTTATAATCTTATATTGATGCTCTATGCTTGTGACACCGTCGCGGGTATCGTTTTGAATTTTATCTAATTCCAATTATTAATATTTTACAACAGATGGTATTAGCCGAGGTTTGAACAGAACGAAGCTAATGAAGCAATCAATGGGTCTGGGAATCTTTGATAAACTAGTTTTTAGTTTTTAGTTATCTGAGATCCAACCGCCAAGGCGCGTCAGGGCCAAATCAGAATCTGATCCTGCATAAGTTAGCGATTACATTCTAAAAAGGTTCTGCCGGAAGGGAAGAAGGAATATTCTGCACACAAATACCAGATTGTTATTTCAACAAGTACTAAGAAGGTCAGGTAGGCCATCGAAAACAAACCTCTGTAAATTTATTCCTGATCAAGCTTTGTTCGACTTGAATCTTGGTAGCGATCCGATTTGTGCGGGCTGTTATTATCATCGTGTCATTTTCGAGACACAGGACCCATCATTACATTACTATATTAGAGATGTTGATTACGGACGGCGAAGGAGACCAGTATGATTTTACCAAGTCGTCGGGTTCATCCTTGCTGGGAGTTCTAGAATCTGGCTTTTTCCACCTGCCGCCTCAGTCCAGTCTAATGTCGAGTCTGGATTTATGTTTTGGCCGACTTTTGATTTTGAACCGGCCATTCGTAAGTAACTTTTAAGTGCCCGGATTCCTGTTTTCCCCATGATGCCGAGCCAGAGCAAATCAAACCAAAACACGCACGACGAAATGAATTTCAAGACATTGATCTCCGGTGAAGTCCGCAAGCCCATCGTCAATATGCAGGTGGGACTAGTAAAGTATCTGAGCGCGGGCAGCCCGAGCTTTGGCTACGAGTGGATGCTCCAGTCAATAATAATACTGACTTAGACGATCGTGGAACAGCGAGCAGATAGTTGAAGACTAGGAATGGAGGAGACAAGGACATTTACCCAATTTGTGTTGCGCGAAGTGCAAACCAGCTATAATCACTATGAATGCCGTAGAATTAGCAGTTTGGATTATCTTCACTGTGGCAAAAACGAGACCCTTATACACTAGCGCCTAGCATCGCCTTCCATGTTGCGAACATAATCGTGCCAAGCCCACCACCACCTAATTACAAGATGTTCTTTCGAACCCTAATCACATGGTGGTAAGCTAATCCATATTTATGTAGCTACTCCCGTATTTTGAATCATGTTCCGGTTCCGAACAGTGAGATGTTTAACGAAGATACTAACTAGTCTTATCACTGATATAAAATACATAAGCACGAATCACAAGCTGTCAAAAAAAAAATCACTCGGATGATCTCGGCCCGGCATAGTGACCAAGCTTCCTTTTTCTCATGTTCTGGCGCAGTTTTCTTCTATATCCACTTCTTGCACAACAGGCGCAAACATGAATTCTCGGACAAACTATATTTTATCGCTCCCACTGGAGGTGTTGCTGATGATTTTTGAGAAATTATCCAACATTGTTGAGCCTTTTTCTCTTGCGATAACCTGCAGCACACTACTTCGTCTTTTTAAAGACCATGGTGACAATATTACTATGTCTATCATTGTAAGTCTAGCTTCGTATGATGACTCTCAACACAAAAAAATTGACATAGAGAAGCGTGCTTCGGAATATCACAAATACGATGCTCCTCTCTGTTACTTGATCGACACAATGCACGGCAAAGAGGAAGAAGATATTACCTTGAAAAGTCCCTCTCTTTTGCCAACAACCTCTTTAAGTCAGCTTGATTTCTGTCTTGGCCGTGACTTTAACGCCTTTCCCTCCATGAGTGACAAAAATGATTGTTTTCGTTTCGTCCAACGGATTCGCCTATGGTGGAGGCAAGCTAATCAATTGAGAAGCTTATATATCTCTCACATGAGCCAGTACCGGGGTGCGCTATCATATCACTGCGACGTTTCGTACGAACAATCCGAGAGATACACGTTGGCGTGCTATGCAGATTGCAAAGACCAGCTCGCTAGCAAGCTTTGTCCTCTGCCAAAAAACGAACAAGAGAAGACCGTATCCAAAGAGAGATTTTATCGTGCGGTAATGGGGCGCGTTTTGGATACAAAAGCGTGGCAGTTTCTTGCGATCGTTGAAGATTCTGATAACCTAGACCTTGACAATCCTTCATTCGACAAAGTCATGGATATGTGGTCCGGTAATCTTGACCGCACCTTACAAGAAAGCCTTGAAATTCTTGAAATATTTGATTATACGTTGAACTTTTTGCTACACCGTGTATTCAACTCCCCTGAAGACAACCCGTTGTTGGCAGACCTGAACACCACAGGTCAAACTCGAAGTGATATGTACCTTACTTCTAACTCCACAATCCTATCCGCTTGGAATGTATTTCTTACGCGTGTCCAAACATTTTTGACCCCTTTTGACATGTTGTCCTTATTCAAGGGAAATGACGAGACCAAAGCGGAAGCTTCACCCCTCCTGTTCCAGATCATCTGGGAATCAAATAAGGCCGATTCCATTGGAACCATACCTGGAATGAGACAGGTTGAAGAGGACGTGGTAAGCAAGCTGTATAAGCTGTCTCCTGGGAAATGGAAAGGTTCTATGGCCTTGGATCATACTCATACGCCCTGGGAGGATTCTGAGGCCTGGGAGGATTCTGAGGCCTGGGAGGATTCTGAGGCCTGGGAGGATTCTGAGGCCTGGGAGGATTCTGAGGCCTGGGAGGATTCTAAGGCCTGGGAGGATTCTAAGGCCTGGGCGGTTTATCGCCGTCATCATTGGCGGGATAGGATCAGAGGACAAGTATTTGCAGATTCAATCATTGACATGGGCCCCTATGACGTGCAAGACAGCAGTCTCTGGTGGGAAAAGCTGGAACCATGTGAAAGTCATCATAAAGATGCTATATTATCTGTACAGGAAGATTGGTTCCTTCTTAGAGATTTGAGTCAGCGTACTAGAGTGCCGGATCGTTCTTTGCGGCATTATCGTATGCTGGATTCACCACCTGGGTGATTTTTCATGGCATGAAATGGGTATTTATGTTTGTTTACCATGAGAATGTGATTCAGTGCTATCATACCACCGTCTCGAAGTCAGAGCTACTGCATCACGTTAAACATCACCGCCATCTGAAAAAAAAAAGGTACCTACTACTGCTCTGGTGGGGGTGGTTGAATATCTCTAAACACCTGGCCTGGTTTCCACGGAAACATACCACTTTTGGACCAGCCAGCGGTGATATTCCTGGACGTCATCGCCGTTTTCCGCGCTCATTTGTAGAGAGAGAGCCAAAATGCTCCAAACGTACGGCATTAGCTCCTCCCCGACATATTAGGTCGACTTATTCCCGGTAGGCTATTTCAAGTTCACTAAATACACCCGCGCCACACGGCTGAAGCTTATGCGAGGTATGTGACGGAAGTCGGCAAAGGATAATATTTTCTCATATTTAGATTACATTATAACTATATATATCTGCAACTTTAGTATAAATTCTTAGTAAGTTTAAGTTCTTAAGGTCTATTATAAGTATAGATCGTATTATATATAGTTAATCCTAAAATGATTAAGGTAATTTAGTTATAGATAATACCTATTATTATAAAAGGAGTATAGTTATTTCTTGGATTCTATAACTTCTATTATTAATTTATCTAAAGATCATATAACGTTATCTTAAAGCTTTTATACTAGTTAGTCAGATACGATATTTTATTTAAATAGTCTACTAATTATAAAGATATATTCCTACTTTTAAAAAAGAAATTAGTTAAAATGCTAGTCCTTTAATATTATAACCGTATTTTAGATATAGTCCTATCCTAGTATTATAAAGATAGCGACTTCTAGTATTTAGTAGCCTTCTACTTAAAAATAATATAAATAGCTAAATTAAATTATAAAGTATATAATAAAAAGCTTCTAGTAATTATCCGCGCTTTATAACAATAGCGACTAAAACTTAAAAGACTTTTATAGAAGGATTATTTTAAAATCCTTCTTTATTATTAGTGACAGAAATCTGGCTGTATGACAACGTATGGACAATTTCAGATATATTGGAATCTCTAACTAACTAAAATGACAAAACCCGCGCTTTCAACAATCTGGGCGGACATAGATGACTAACTGTAATATGCACTTTTGTATGGTATGGGTGGTACCAGGTGTCACATGATATTCAGGGTATTTTACCCTGTTTCCACCATGTATTCAATCTTAGTATTCGACAATTAGTCTTATAAATAAATTAATAATAGGTAAGATAGAGTAAATTCCTTTTATGATTATATTTTTAATTAACTATCGCTTTAAGAAGAAGAATATTATTATATATATACTTTTATACAAGTATTTACCTTATATAAATAATAGCCGATAGCTTACTATATTATCTAAAGACTGTCTTAAAGAAGGTATCTATCTAGTTAACTTAATTCCTATCGATCTAAAAGATCTATAGATATAAGAAATCACTAAGCGAGTAAAAGAAATAAATCGCTAAAGTGCCGAACTTAATAAATTCTAATAAATTATTAAAGCTAGTAATAGGAGATAGACTCTATAAGAAGGATTACTTTTATATAAAGGTCGACTAAAAGTTTTAGATTAGTAGGATTTATATATAAGACTACTAGATAGTATATATTATTAACTATTAATAGCCTACCCTAGAATTAAGAAGTTAAAAAAATAAATCTCTATTTAATACTATTAGCTAGATTAGATTACTATATAAAATATTATATTAATAACTATTTACTTTATAAATAAACGAAAATATAGAGAGATAAGACCTTTAGACTACTCTATCTTCTCCTAGTCCTAAATTAATTATCGTTTATTTTTAAAAGATTATTATAAATATAATATAGTTTTTATAGTAGTTAACTATCTAAATAAAAGATTAATATCTATCCCTTATTATAATATTATAGATATTATCAAGATAGCTTAACTTTTTATTAATAATATTATTTAAATTATAAATATTCTAGAAATAATTATATTAGATAAAAGAGGTTAGTTTATCTTAGAATTTTAGGCTACTTCGATCTATAAAGGCTAATCTCTAGAATGATATAAGTTAGAGGTTTTCCTCTAACTTTTACTAATATAGTAGGCGGTTTATTAAAGGTAGAATTAAGGTCGTTATATCAGATTATAATATAACTCCTAGGCTAAAAACGTATTTAGTCCCTAAATACCGGTTTATTTTTATTAATATAACTATCTAGGAAGTTTTCGTATTATACCGACATACTCTATTCCTATAAATATAGAAAAGGACCCGGTTTTATTAGATATTAATTATAGAAGTCTTATAATTTTTATAGTATATACTTAAAATTATTAGTAGGGTATTATAATAAGTTGTATCGTATCCTAGCTTATTATATTTAGTTATTAAATTTAAATTCATATTTAGTATCATATTTATAAACATATAATAAATAACTATATAACTATATAGTGGATTTCAAATCTATTATTATAACGATAAGACATTTAATTATATCTATCTATATCTATTTTTCAAAAGAGATAAATAAGACTATAGCCACCGAGATAATAATATTTTTTACAACATGGTTAATATCTTCTTTATATTGAATATACTTCAATTAAACAAAATACAACCTTTTATCTCTTTACTTTCTTACCTTTTATCTTTAGCTTTTCCTTCCTACCATCTAACCCCTGTAACCTCCTAGAAAGCCGATAAAGCTAAAACCGAAATTTTAATTATATAACTTATTTAGGAGAGATCGTTTTATATTCTAACTTTTAAATATATAGTAGAATTTAAACTAGACTAGCTCCGGTATTATAATTATAAAGGCTATTATTACCTATAAATCTATTAAGATATCTAACGCTTCGATATTTAGCGATAGTAAAGAAGTTTATTTTAAAATATAAGACACTGTTATCCGATAGAAGCTTAAAATAAATATAGATTATTACCTATTACTAGTTTATTATAAGCTTTATATATAGAGTTATTATAAAGGAAAGGCTTAATTATATTATACTTTATTTAAGTACTAAGTCGAGTACCTTATACGCCGATACTAATAATATCTTCTTTATATTGAATATACTTCAATTAACTAAATACAACCTTTTTATCTCTTTACTTTCTTACCATTCATCTTTAGTTTTTTCCTTCCTACCACCTAACCCCTATAACCTCCTAGAATAATAATAGTCTATACGGTCGTACTACTCTATTTAAAAATAAATGTGATACCTAATATTATATTACTAGCTAGATCTTTTAATAAAAGAGTATATTTTAATAAGAATACTAAGTATAGAGAGTAAAAGAGAAAGAAGAAGAGGATTAGTTAGTTATAAGGTCCTTTATAGGGCCTTAGTACAAACTATACAAACACTATCCCCTAAGTGTCTCAACCCGGTAAGCGGTTAGTAACGGCAGAACTATAGTTACTATCTCAAGAATCAAGATCGTGACAATATTAATACTTAATTAGTATATTAATAGATTTAGCTATTTTGTAAATAAACGATTAATTATATATTTAATAGAAAACGGCTAATATTATATAACTATTTTAGCTTTTATTTAATACCCTAATTTATTAAATTTTATAAGAATAATAATTATAATACTATTTTATTCTTCTTACTTTTATATACTAGCTATATACTGTAGTCTCTTAATATACGAGTATTTAGCGTCTATAAATACTAACCGGCCCCTCTTTTTTTACCAAAAATACGAGGGTCCTTCACCCACATGAACAGGATCATCTAAATGAACAATTTTTTAAATCCTACCACTTTCTCTTGAATTGTTAACCACCCCACCCACCATACCTAAAGACAATAGAGATATAGAGGATCTGATTCTTAAAGCTATCGACTCTCTCTCTGAGCAATCTAAACCTAATATCTCGAAAACTGCACGAGAATTCGAGGTTCCAATTTGACGACTACGACGCCGGTGATTAGGTGGAAAATCGCTTTTTCAGCGTCAACCTAACGGTCGGAAACTAAGTCCTGGATAGGAGAAGGCTCTATGTGAATATATCGATTACTTTGACTCCGTGGGAGCATCGATAAATCGTCGTCAAATTGCTATCGCAGCCAATTCAATTCTCGAGGATAACCATACCGATTCGGCCACGAAACCCCCCCAGATCGGCGACCAGTGGCTAAAACGTTTTATGAAACGGCATCCTGAGTACTATATACGACGCCGGCGAGCTCTTGACGTCGAGAGAGCTTCTGCATTTGATAAAACTGTGGTGGAAAGGTGGTTTCAAGACTATCAACGTGTGGTGACTGAGCATGGTATATGCCAACAAGACATCTACAATTTTGACGAAACTGGCTTTCAGATTGGCGTCGGACGGGATTAATTCATTATTACAAGAGAGCCAAAAAAGAAGCTATTTAATGGATCTGTCACCAATCGAGAATCTATCACTGTTTTAGAGGCTGTTTCTGCTGATGGTTTTACCTGTCCACCACTTATTATTTTAAGTGGAAAGCAGGCATTACTACGCTGGTTTGATAATGTTAAAGAAGATGAGCATATAGCGGTAACTGATACCGGTTATATCAGTGATCAATTGGCATATCAATGGATTCAGCTATTCCATAAATGGACGATTAATCGTACGCTTGGTGGAAAACGGCTGGTGTTATACGACCGTTTTAGCTCCTATTTAACACGTTAATTTATTAAATTTTATGAGAAGAATAATATCATTTTATTCTTCTTACTCTCACATACCAGCCATATACTACAGCCTCTTGATGTAGGAGTGTTTAGCGTCTATAGACACTGGCATAGTGAGGCTGTTGAAGCGGCTACAATGACTGGATGCCGCAAAATTCTCAAAGGATGAATTCCTACATTGTATCGCCGAAATCAGACGAAAAACCTTCCGGCCGCATACAATTAAGCTTGGA